ATCAGCTTTGTATTTCCATGAATGTACCTTTGCCTCTGGACCCCAAGAAATGTTGATGAAGTACAGTTACTGGTCGAGGTTTTGAAGGAGTACAGATGTAGTCATCCTCTTACCTGAATCCTGAGCATCTGCAAGTTTGGTGAGCTCTGCCTCTGCACCTGCACCTGCGTCACGACAGAGGAGAGGGACAGCTTTTTGCTTGACTTCCTTGAGTCTTACGATGGGCCGTCCTGTCCTGTCAGGCTCTCTGGTGTCCTGCCCTCGTTGCCTCGCCTCTGGCCCATGATAAGAAATAGGTGAAGGTTGCATGCCAGTTGTTATGCTGCCTTGGGTGGTCTTGCATTGTCTGCATAATAGACGAGAACACCTTTGGGGGAGGCACTCTGTTCCATGTGAAACCATGAGCCCGGGTCACACCATGCCTGGCACAGAGCCTGCAGCTGGGTGATGTTGCTGGTGGGCTCCACGGTCCCCGGGTGAGTGCACAGCCCCAGCCAGAGGCCAGTGGGTCAGACCCCCTGAGTGAGGACGCTCATCTGGAGCTGCCAGTTCTGATCTGTGCTGAGGAGCATGACGATGAAGCTCCCACAGGGACACATCCCTGCCAGCACTCAGGACCGCATCTCAAACTGCTGTCCTTCCCACCCGCTCTGCTCCGCCACCCAGGTTGTTCTTCTTTTCAGTAATGTTTGCACTTTCGGTTTCCTCTGTTGAGAACTCTGCCATCCGGGTCACCACTCTGCCTCCCCAGCCTCCTCCCTCTAAGGTCCCACACGGGCCCCTCTGAACCTTCAGCTAGAAGCTCCTCTATTCAGAAAGGCCTTCACCCGCCACCTCCATGGTCACTCTGTCACAACACCCACTTTGTTTTATACTACTTCTCTTTTCCTTAAAATAACCTTTTAATTTTTCCCCAGTTTCATTGAGATATCTTTGACATGCAACACAAACATAAGTTTGAGGTGTACAGCATAATGATTTGACTTACATGGAATGATTCCCACACTAAGTTTAGTGAACACCATCATCTCATATAGATACAAAGGAATAGAGAAAACATTTTCCTTGTGATGAGAACTCTTAGGATTTACATTTGTAACGACTTTGATTTTTAATGGACAGCAGTGTGAAATACCTTTATCATGTTGCACACTGCATCCCTAGTATTGAAAAATGCCATGATTATTTTCTAGCTCTCACCACACACACTTGGTTCGCTGCCTCATCTGTGCTGCCTGGAGCAGAGCCTTCGCTGTTGAGGGACTAAAGGGTGCCTTCTGTCTCTGCTGCAGATGGCGGACCTGCACGCCGTGCCCAGGGGCATGTACGACGGGCCGGTGTTTGACCTGACCACCACGCCCAAGGCGGGCACCCCCGCCGGCTCCACCCGGGGCTCTCCCACGCGGCCCAACCCGCCGGTGAGGAACCTGCATCAGTCCGGATTTAGCCTGTCAGGTGAGTTGGACAAGTTGATGGTTTGCTGAGCTAAAGAGACGTCCTGGTGGGAAAGGAAGCCAAGGATCAGCCAGACAGAACATCAGGATTAAAAGATGACTAGTTCTGCTTAGAGATCACACCTGCTGGGGACGGGGCGAGGGCGGGGCGCGGCGGGGTGGTTTCCTTATGGGCATGATTTTCTGCCTTAGACTGGGTAAGCTCCGCAGTATATTTTGTTTCCATTGCCCAGGTTAATAGATCGTTTTTATGCTCAAATTCCAATAGCTTCTTCCAGCCTAGGATTTTATTTATCTTCTTCCCTTCCTTGTCATAGTAATAATGCTAGCAACAGCTGCCACTAATTGAACATTTACCATGGCTTAGCTATATCATAAATCTTTAAGAACTCGCTGATATTCTTAGAAAATGTGTTCAACTGCTCCATAACCAGTAGTGTAGATGGAACAGTAAGTGTAGATTTGCATCTCTCTGATGAAAACTTTCAAGTGAAGGAAGTGAGATAATAAGAAAAAGACACATGTCTTAGAGGGACAGTGAGTGTGGGGGAAGAAGTGGGGGAAATGGGAAGGCAGGGAGAAGAAGATACAAGGGGGCCAGAGGGGAGGAAGACAGAGGAAGAGTCCTAAATCTTGAGGTGACAGTATCAGAGATCACACATGCTAGTTGCCTGAAATTTTTCAGTGTTTTTGCCATTTTTCATTGCTCCCTGACTTCTGTCATGCCTAAGCTTTTTTTTTTTTTTTTTTTTTGGCTCCTTTCTGAAAAGGAGTGTGTATCAGTGTTTCATTTCAGCTGTATCCCTAGGTCAGACCATCACCACTCCAAGTTGTGGTGAGACCCTCACAGGCAAGTTGCCTGGCCTCTCACAGCCTCAGTCACCCCCTCTGTAAAATGGGGTAATAACAGGACGTCCATCCACGATTGTGATGAGGACTGAATGAGATGATCTGAGAAGCACTTCAGAGTTGCTTATCACAGTGCACATGAGCAGCTGTTTTTCATATCACTCCCGCTGTTCTTTTTACTGTCATTGTCATGATGCATTGGGTCCGACTGTCATTGTTACGATGCATTGGGTCCGATGAAATCCAATAAGAATCTGGCTTCTCCCGCAAAGGGTTGTTTTCAGGAGAGTGGGTATGGAAAGTCTGGACTACCTGACAGACTGAAAGGGAAGTTTCTTGGGAGATGAGGAGGGCATTTAATATCTTAACGCTTTTCAAATTAATCAATTTTCTCTCTTGTCCACACCCCCACCTCCCTTTTTATTCCCTGGGAACTTACTGTCACCTGCAGGCACCCAAGTGGATGAGGGGGTCCGCTCGGCCAGCAAGCGCATCGTAGCGCCCCCTGGAGGGCGTTCTAACATCACATCCCTGAGTTAAGCGACCCCTCCCCCAAAGAGAGGGGCAGAAGCAAGAAGAGATTCTTTTGAAGCCAAAATGGTACACCAATATTTAAGAAGGAAAGCGAATCCAAACAGTTTCGATCTAAGGAATCAATAAGCCTCAAGCCTTATGTTTCTCCAATGTTAACGCTCGCTTGCCTAGCTTTACGAATATTGCTTTGATTTCTGTTGATGCATAGCCTGGATTTGTTTGACGCCCCTCCCCCATTTACATGCATGCAATCAGGCCACTAAGGCAAAGCGTCTGCTATATAGTGTTGAGAGCGTGTGTAGTGCTGCATCTTACGACAAGGGGACGGACGAGCGGGGACGGCAGGAAAATGAACAAAAGGGACGCCGGTTATTTGGGGTGAGTGGGTGGTGGAACCCAGAGCAAGGCGGAGGGCTCAGAGGGGCTGGGTTAGGGTGTGGACGGGGGAGGCGGGTGGGTGAGCATGGCGGGTCTTGTGGATTGTGCTGAGGAAGTATGTTAATTTCCACGAAAGATGGCCGCTCGGGGCAGCCGGTACTCCACCGTCGGCTCTTGGGGTCCGCAGACAAGGAAAGCGATCTTCTGGTTCGGGACTCTGTCATGTCCTCTCCTAGTAGATTTTATCCCTTGGAACATTTTATTAAAACACCAGAACCCAACCATTGCTTCCACCTTTTTGGTCGTGCCAGTGTTTGATCAGGCTTCTTTCTCAGTGTTGCTTTCAAATTCTCTTTCCTGGGCTGGGAACTAAGAGGAGAGAGAAGCAATGCCCTTTCTCTTCCTCTTGCCCTCCCTGCCTCTTTGGTGCTCTTAAAAGGCAGCAGCTGGGAGCACAGCTCCGGCCCTGAGGGGAGGGCGGCCACACTTAAGTAACAAGGCCCTCTAAACACCTGGTGATCACCTCTCAAGCTCATTGCAAATGGAGACAAGCAGGCGGCTTCTCAAGTTAGGACTGGAGCTGAGATGGACTTCCCTTGCCAGGGGTGAGTGATTCTCTTGCTCTCCTAAGATCCAGGCACATCCTCGATTGAATATGTTTTTTTTTTTGGTTATTGTTGGAAATTTGTTTTCTTAGGTGTTCCCTAACTTTCATTACTAATAGAGAATCTCGGCTCATACGGGAGGCAGCATCTGAAGCGAAAGGAACATGTTCTGTTGCCGCGGTTCTGTTTGTCAATTCTGAGCCAGCTCTTGCCCTTTCACTTAGCATATCCTGTGGGGGAACTTTTTGTTTCAGTACCAGAGTCTCCCAGTGAGTGGAAATGACATGACACATAAAGGAAATTAGCATAGTGTTAGCATCTGCCTTGTCGGTCAGACCTGAATGTCCAATTCCCTACCGTTCCACTTCTGAAAATTCAGTTTTGGAGCAAGTTCTGTGATCCTGCTGAGGTCCATATTGCAGGGAAAACATATTCAACCTGGTATCAGACTTCTGTGCTCAGGGGATCCAGCCAGTAGGTCCTGCAACCCCGTGAACTAAGTCCTTTCAAGAAAAGAGCAAACACCTTTCAAGTGCTTAGGAGAAGCCATTATCTCTGCAGGTTTTAGTAAGTTGAAGACCAGAGAAAAGGGGGTACATGGCTAAAAAGGAGTTTGGAAATAGCCAAGGAAGAGGATTTCCCTAGCAATGTACTTTTCTGTTCTAATCATAAAAAAAGATGTTTCCTTTCATAAAAGGAGTCTTGCTGTTTTTAAGGCTTTTTCATGGTGCCTTTATCGTAAGAGAAACTTAAGCGAAGGGGAGGTTGCAGCTCTTGATTTATATACTCAGAGATTTGGGGGCCTTTGGTCGAACTCAGAATGACAGTTTTGCAGGCAGAGGGAGCTAGTCCGATCAGAAGCTTTCACATATACCTCATTGGCTGGGCTGTGCTTTAAAGTACATTGCAGTACCAGCCACGACCACCAGATGGAGGAAGAGACACAAATGACTAGTCCAGGCATCCTCTTGTGTGCCGTCTGCTGCTCTTACCTAATCCCCGAGTCCAGCTCAGCCTCCCCACAACATCGCTGCGCTCTGAAAAATAAATCTTTCACGGCCAAATTGGCTGCACTTAGGACTTCTGAATGAAACACTGAGCCAGAACTTTACAGTCTGCACAAGTTTGTTTTTGTTTTGTTTTGTTTTTGCTGAAGGAACAACCCCTATATGCATTCGTGATGGGCAACTTAACTGAGGAAGTCTCCCTGTCTTCATTTACTATTAGTAACTTTCCAAGCACAGAAATTTCTGAGAATTCCAAGAAAACCCCCAGTATATTGTTGACGTTGAGTTCTGGTTCCTTGTTACTTAAGTTAAAATTTGTATTCGAATGTGCCCTGTATTCCATGAGACCCATCAAAGAGCCCTGTCCAAAGGGTTTAGGAAGAGAACGTGGCGGTGAGCCACAGCCCTCTCAGAATTCCCTGGCCTCTCATCTGAGGGTGGGAGGGCATGTTGGGTCCTCGTCTCCTCCAAGCTTTCTTTGGCTCTCTCATCTCTTGACCTGGCCCCTCTAAGAGGGGATGACAATTATCTGGGCTTCTTTCTGGGAGGGCCACCATCTTTGGTAATTGAGAAGGTATTAGATAAATCAGCTACCCGCCCTGCTAGAGATATTTCCTTCAAGTTTTCTAAAGAGCAGGGCTGTAGTTATCCCAAAAGTGCATTTCTTCAAAGTCCAGTCATCCTCTGGCCTTTTCTTTTGTGACTCCACACAAACAGTCATGTTCTGCCCCAAAGGCGTCCATCCCAAGCCTGCCCCATGAGAAATCTTCCCAACAGCTTCTTGGCCCAAGCTTCCCAGACCTCCTCCCCTGAAACCTCCAGCTCGAGTCCCCGTGTCCACGTGGGCTGTCCCAGGCAGCCAGCATCCCTTGTGAGTTCCCCCTTTGGAAATGGTGTGTGGGTGTTCAGTTCTGTGTCTGTGACTCTGAACAGACAGTGACTCTCCCTGTGACCTGTGGTAGCTGTGAAGCAGCTCTGGAACGCTGAGAGCTGTTTGCTTTGAACCGTGAAGAAAACTGTGTTTTGAGTTTAGCTGAGATTAAGGAAAAAAAAAAAAAAGTTCATCAAGTGACTGTTAATGTAAACCTGGTTATTAAAATAACTCTGAAATCACAGCCGTCGTTGTCCAGCCTTCTTCTGTGTGTGTCGTTCCTATCTACCTGAAGTGTGACAACTTCTTAAGAGAAGTGACGCGGTTAGTAAGAGGGACATGTCTGATGTAGACCGTTACCCTGAGAAATCTGAAGTTTCTCTTTTCAGTTGCACATGAGTTTTGTTCTGGCCACAGAGTTAAATGACTATTATTGAAACATTGGGGAATAACTAAATTTTTTTAATGGGTCATCAAATTCAGCAATAATATAAAGGCATTGCCAATTGGGATAAACCTAGCTGAGTTCAGAACAGATCCTGAAAGGTTTGTTTTATTCTGTTTTGTTTTTTTGCCATTCCCCTGAAGCATTTCCTCTACTTCTAAAACCTGGACTTGGAGAAAAACTAAGCGTGTGCCAAAGTATATTCTTTAGCAGACTGTTCCTAAGGAATCTAATGTGTGTACTGTAATAATTGGAGAGATTTAAAGCATTGTTGTCAAGTTAAAGGCTGAGAAGTTTTGTATATTTCAAGTTATTGAACTCATGGTTCTGAACCCTTCTGTATCACATTGCATTCCACCAGACCTGTTACACTAAACCCTTTTTGAGAAGCAGTCCTGGATCCAATTAGAACTTATGTAGGGCATTTTTAATTGCAAATGTTAGATGCCTAGTAAGAAAACTTTTTTAAAAAGATTTTTTTTTTAAGTCTAGTATAACTGAAAACTTCAGGGATAGACTTGGGCAGACCGAAGCATAGCTGCATCTAGAACATTGTTTCTCTCCATCTCTTAGCCCTGTTTGCCTTTAGCAAGTGCTTCATTCTTAGGAAAGCTCATTCCACTTAGGAGCAAAACTGGCCATCAGCACCTCTAAGTTTGCACTTTACTTGATTAGCAATTTCTGGGTGCGGGAGTGGGGTGGAGGGATCCTTGGATAGTTCCTGGCCAAGGAGGCTGATTTTGATTGTTCCGGCTTGGTCACATACTCCTATGTAGTTGGCACTGTTTGCGAAATCCTGGGACTGGCCACACCTGGTAACACACCGGCTCGGAGCTACCCAAACCACGTGGACCCTCAATGACTCAAAGAAAATCAGTTTGTGATTCCAGAAGAGGAGGGCATGGAGTCTAGGTAAAAAAGGAGGTAGCCATGGCACCATTCTCAAGCTGCAGGACACAGTATCTGTGTAGATTGGGGTAGGTGGGGCAGGGGATCAGGGCATGGTAGTTCCTGGTGAATTTTGTGTGCGATGGTCACCCCCACCTTGGTTTGGCAGAGCAATGTCTTCAGGACAGGAGCTCAGAGTGATGATAACCTTTAACACAGAACCTCAGAAACCACATCAGAAGTTCCTCTGTGCATATAAGGAGTTATTTCATTGTGACGTGCAAGGCTTCACAACAAGCTTTTGCCCACAATCCTGTTTTGTGGGTTGAACTCAAGACGGGTGAAACACCTCTCCCTGCTCATGGTCGTGGCAGAATGGAGCTCTCCTTAGGACTAGCCTAGGTGTCAAGAGCAGGGTTAGTGCTTAAAATGACCTCAGCCTGCAGAGTTCTAAAAGGGATGAAGCAGTTTTTTGTTTTAAGTTGGTGCAGTTCACACATTGATTTTCACACCTCTGCAGGCTGGAGCTATTAGGGCTGAGTCACATCAACCAGGTGGGGAATGAGAACCCTGACTAGGAAAAACAAGGTCCCTCTGGCTTCAGAGAACTTTCTGATATCAACTTTACTGCCATCAGGCTCTCACAAGGAGGAAGGAAATGAGCAGGAAATGGAATGAGGGGGCCACAGCAGCCTGCAGAAATGAGGTCGCATTCCTCAGAATGGAAAGAGGTCTAGATCCTGCCCTGTGCTCAGCGGACACCGAGGAGGTGACCGGATGCTTCCCGAGACCTGAACGGAGCCCACAAGACTTTAACAAGATCCTGTCCCAGGAACCAGCTAGCCTGTGGCTGCTAGGTTTTTGTGAGTCAGAGAGATGACTGGAAGACCCCTTGATCCTCCCCAAGGCAGAAGTTGCCTCTACCTGCAAGAGTTTAGAGCTGTTGGTTACCTTCCTGTCCTGGGTTCTGGGCTTGGAACATCCACCTGCTGCTTGGATATGTAGAATAGGACAGGACAAAGATATTGGTGGGTAGGAAGACAGAGTGCTGAAAAAATAGGTGCCTGAACTGTCCATGGCCTTAAGATCATAGTGAAAGGCAAAATCCAGAGTCCTGGGCTGTGCTTCCTTAGGTAACTGCAGGAGGGGTCAGGTTCTCAGTTTCTACACATGTGGATTAGCTGGATTGTGCTGCATCTCATAGTTCTAGAACATCATCTCTAACTTTCCAAGGTTCTGAAACATCATCTCTAATACCGCCTTGTCTCTGGTGAAGGACATTCCCCCTAGCAGGAAATGGAAATGCGAACAGGTGACTTTGGGAACCCACAGGGAAACGATTACACACACACACACACACACTTGGCTGACAAAGAAAGGACAGTGGCTTCCAATGTACAGAAGACATTTTAATACATACAGGCACATTGACAGCATGTATGCTACAGCTCAACAGAAGCACAGATTTCCCAGCAAAGGGTTACCCATTCACAACAGCAGTTTGTAAACGGGGTTTGGGTTTTTAACAGTGTTAAATATCAGACACACTGAGATTGTAAGAAATGGTGATCACAGGCAGAGCCTCTAGGAAACAGATTTATGTCGACAGAATGCAGGGACAACTGAATGCTAAAACAATTCACTCTTTTTCATGCCTTTTCATTGAGCCCTTGAAGAATTATAAGCCTTAGCATTACTGCGTTAGCCAAAATCATCAGCGCTGGCCCCTGCTAGCTGTGTGACCTGCTCTTTCTCCCTAGGTATTTATTCATCCATCCAGGCTAGAAAAGCTATGATGATATAAAGTCTAGTTGTTTCTGGTTAAAACTTAACTATCAGAAGCAGACTAACTGCCAATTAATTAAGTTTCCCTCATTAACAGAGCAGTGTTCTGTGTTTTTTGACATTGATCTCTGCCCTAGCAGTGCCCTCAGGTAAGACCAGTGCTGCCCTTGGGGAATGAGCCATTAGCAAAGCATTTTCTTCCATGGGGTTCAGGTCAAGGACAGGGTCACAGAGTCGCCCCACCCTCCCACCCGTGGTCCCTGTGTTTGCACTGGGGTGGGTGGGCCCCTCTGCAGTGCCAGTGTTAGAACCAGGATGTTCCTGGACTTTCAAACCTGCTCACACTTTTCAGATGTTCCACACAGGTAAGGGAGGGGTGAGGGAAAATAAGATGTCAGAAATGCCAGACAAAAGGATTTAAGAGTCACCCTATTTTTTGTAATTTTAAAAAAATTCTTAGCCCTGAGCCTTGGCTGTCATAAACCTAGATATGTTTCGGCCAGTAGGGTAGTCAGTTTTAGCCCAGGTTACGGAATGAAACCCAAGGATCTGATTTCAACAACTAGCAGTCATGGTAAGGACTGAGGAATCCTTTTATATACGGGGAAACTTTTGTTCTAGCACTCGAAATACCCAGTGGAGGTTCTTGGGATCAGTTGTTACCTACACTGATAGATGCAGTGCTTTTTATTTTCTAACTTTAACTACCTGTGGCTCTGTAACCTGATGAGGACTGGAAATCTTATCTTAACCTCTCAGGCTGTGCCCTCTAGTCATTGCACCCATGGTTCCCAAAAGCCCACAAAGGTGCTGCAGGCACAGAAGAAGGTCACTGGAAGTAAAAACTAGATATTCACCCTACAGAATACCTAGTTGTTTTGAGTTCCTATTCCATTATTAACTGAGTAGACATGAAATGGCACAAAGGATTAACGGGTCTCATCCCAGCGGAGACCCTGCCAGTCCCATTGCCCTTGGGTAAATCTTTCCCAAAGTCTCCCCATTGGGATGATAATAGACAAGGTCAGAGAAAGAGGGGGAACCAGGTGACTGGAGAGATGAGTCCACGCACATCAGGGCTTGACTCCAAACAAATGAAAGATGGAAGTTGGTAAACATGCATGTGGCCCCTGACACTCCTCGTTACCAACGAAAAGCAGAATCCGGTCACCTCCTTACAGATTCGGTCAACCCCCTCCTTGGGAAACTGGGCCATAATTTCTATGTGGGAGAAAAACTAGCACAGAGAGATCATGTGGGAGAAACGTAGAGAAAAGGAATCAAACAGAACATAGGATCTGGCTTTTAATTCTTAACAGAAATGTGGTTACTCTTAAAGTAGAGAGGCCCTGTGTCCAGGTTTTCAAGGCCAAAAGTTCTGGGCCTGTCAGCTGAGGGTGGAGAAAGCCGTCAGTGTTGCGTTTACAGCTCAGCACTGCTTTTCTGCTCATGTTGAGTTGCCCAGAGCGACCTCCCTTCTGGAAAAGTCCTGTGTAGCAGCGTCTGTTACTTCTGCTGGTTTCCACCTGTCGGTCTCCCCTGTTGACAACTTACTGCTGCCTTGATGAGCCCCACACGCTCCACAAGGAAGGACAGGGTTTTGATGAGCTGAGTGGCTAAGAGTTACAAGAGACCCCCACCAACCCTGTTTATTCTTCACCCAGCTGCATCTGGGAGTTGCCAAAAAACAGTTCTTCTGCAAAGATCTTCTGTGTATCTGGAGCATAGAGTTACATCTCAACTTAGGCGAGTTTAACTCTGTATTTGGCAGATAAAGAAAATATTGTAGATAGGTGATTTGGCCTGCCATTCTTTGCAGTAAACACAAGTAGGTGTTGCTGCTCCCTTAGTCAGTTTTCATGACCTTAGACCTCTCAGATTGTGGGCATTCCGCAGTTTAAAGTGTGAGTCTCGTCTACCAAGCCATGAATAATCTGTTCAGCATTTTAGTGCATCTGGTATTAGCTTAAAATGAGACCAAAAAAAGTGAATCAAGGATGACTCGTTTCATTAGTGAAGGGCCTGGATGATATTGGGCTTCTCTAAGAAAAGATACTCACATATTAATGTATATTAAAGGGATTTTTCAAGGGCAAATTTTACTATCTTCCAAATTCACCTCATATTCTAACTTAGACTGTAACTCCCATGTAAGATACAACTTCAGTGTACTATAAGTTGGACATGTTTTCAATGTGACAATGTTCTTTTCTAATCCTGTCTGGACCCAGGTCTCTGATAGTCTTAAGAGGTAACAGTTCCCAAGGAACATGCTTCTAGAAGAAGGCCAGGGGTGTGCTAAATATTTCAGAACTGGCTTGCTGGGAGGGGGAAAAAAAGCCCTGTTTGTAGCATCTGCCAGTTTCCATGGTGTAAATATTTCCACCATCACCAACTTCAACTTCTCAATTTCATATCACTGAACAGGGCATTGGAGCATTTATGCCTAGCAGCTGTTACTAAATGATACAAGCTGGGATAGTATTCAGATCCAGCACACCACTGGAGGGCCCTCATCAATATGTGTTACTTATCTGGTCCCACCCATTTCTTCTGGAATGAATTCCTTACTCCTCCTCAGTTGGGTTTGGGGATTCTGGCTTCCTTATGAAGGTTTCTAGCTCTCAAGGGCTTCACTCCATCAGCCACCAAAGTCCATTTGTCACAGTGTAATTAAGAATGAAAAAATAAATCTACATCCAAATATTCCTTTTAAAGTAAAAATAGAGGCTATTAAGAATAACAGGATATTGGCAGTTAAAAAGGCAGCGTAGAACTCATCGAGTACTAACTTCTCCTTTTAGATGAACAAACTGAAGCAGAGAAAGGGATTAAGTGACTTGCTCAAGGTCACACAGTTATTTGTGAAACTAGTTCCCAGGAACCCAGGGACTCTTCCCTGTGTCATGCTGCCTCCTTCCCAAGGCATTCATTCACATTTTCTAAGGTGTGTGAGGTGTGGAGAGGTGAGAATTATTGTCAGCTCTTCCTGACGTGGAAATGTTCCAAGAAGATGATGAGGACTTCACAGGTTGCTATTCTGACCATCCTCTCCTTGTGGGTCTTTGGTTTGTTCCAAGGCTTGATTTGCTTGTCTTTTATTAAAGTCCCTTTTGACTCTTAAAAGGAAGATATAAAGTAGGTTTAATCACTGAAGTGAGATATAAAAGATTTAAACTTTTTAAATGATAGCATGAAGTCCAACAATTTATAAAGAAGCATGAATCAGGTAACCTTATTAAAAATATCATTGATTTTAAATGTTGAACATCAACAAGGACCTCATGCTAAGCTAATTTATGTATTATAATTTTTGAAATCTCTTACAAGAAAAAAGATTTATCAAATTTCTAGATTTTCTATTATGGGTATGCATCATTTTTGTAATTAGAATAAAAAAAAGTTTAAAAATATATCAAAGCATTGCAAGTCAAATCTGACTGAAACCGTCCATCATTTGCTCGGCTGCTGTTCTTCCAGGAGTTACTTACTTTTCTCTGTTGAAAATTATGAACTCCTTTTGGACAGATTCAAGGTGTTCTTGAAGAAGGCATGTCTTCCAGGTGAACATTGGGGGAAAAACAGAGACACAGTTAGCAGACCAATGGAGAGTCTCAAATAACCAATAACTTACTGAGTGCCTGTTTGAGTGGCCCAAATCAATTAAGACCAATGTGTCCTCAAAATAGATACTATCTGAAAATTTGTAGCCAGAGTGAGACCACAGTCAGATTAACAGAGGAGCAAATAGGAAAGAAAGAGAATAAAGTACAGAACCTCTCTCCTCCCCACAATGAGGCAGCAAGGAAGAGAAGACCTGGGTTACAGTTTATGAGCTTGATGTCTTTCAGCCATTTAGCACAAGAAACCATGACTTCAAGACAGGTGGGTTCAAGTCTGTAATAAAATCCTTCCAAAACACTTCCGATGAAAAATGTTCTTCTCAAGGGAAAAAATATTTTTGTTTTTAAATCTAGGAATTAGAAAATACTAAGTCCTCAAGTACTGGAGTTTTTATTTTTTCTTTCATGAACAAATATTTAACTGTTAGAAGAAAAACTATAAAAAGGAGGGTAGCTCACATGTGTGCATTAATATCGATACTTGTTTTCCCTTTCTGACTTGCTTCACTCTGTTTGACGGTCTCTAGGTCCATCCACATCTCTATAAATGACACAGTTTCATTCCTTTTTATGGCTGAGTAATATTCCATCATATATATGTACAGCATCTTCAATCTATCCATTCATACAGCAGAAACTAACAACATTGTAAAACAACTATACCCTAATTAAAAATAAATAAATTATATGCTTTCAAAAAAAGGAGAGGAAATTGCAGAGAAGTGACAAAGGAAGAAAAACAAAGGAGAGAAAGAAGACTCTGTTACACCTCCCTCTTATCCTCAAACTGGGGCATTTGTGACCCTAAGGGTTTCCAGTATCAATCATGGGGAATACCTGTGATCTGATAGAGCTCCTTAGAGCAAGATTTTAGAAAAAATACTTTAACATTAAAATATTATATCAAAGTATATAAACAAATGCTTAACATATTTATATAATACTTTATATATATTATATGCATACATGTTTCTACATTTATATATTTACATTTTATAGACAATATATGTATAATATAAACATATAAGTAGATATATAAGCAAAAGTTATACAAAATTTAACATGAAGAATATTTAAAATGTTAACATTTTTAAAATAAAACAAAATGTTAACATTTAAAAATCAAGATTATAATCAAATAAAATGCAGAAGTTTACTCAAGTTGTTTTTCTCTGTCATATATCTCTGCTTTATTTTTAAAAAGATGTAAAATGCACACTCAGAGATGAATTTGTGATACAGCATTGCAGATGTCATGAGTCCCAACCCTGGCCCTAAGGGCTCATGTGCAACATGTTTTCTTTCCTCTGCTTTAACTGAAAAAATGTAAGAAGGGCAGCTCCATGGACAAGTCAAAAGGATAAACCAGAAAGAGTATGAGGGAAAAGAGTGGGGAACAATAAGAATGGAGGAATGAATGGGTCTTAGGTGATTGAGAAGAAAACTGCTGGTTAAAAATCTTGGGATGTGCTTCTTAGGGATGAGAGAGCAAACAATGATTAGACTAGGAAAAGTACAAATGGCATCAGAAATATCTGAAGGGTTTAGAGCAGGTGGAAATCTCAGGAGGCAGAAAAAGAGGATTTAGGTCATTGGCTTCCATGGCAGACAGACTGGTGTGCATCAGTCCTTTTGCTTCTTTACTTGGAGGAGGTTGGTGGGCAGAGAGGGTCAGTGGAGAACATCCATGAAGCAAAGAATCAACAGAGCGTCTACCATGAGCGTGAACAGAGGCTTATACCATGAGCCATGGAAAAGAATGCAGTGAGAAGTCAGGAAGCAGAGTGGAAAAATAAAATATAACAATAGTTCACTTTTTTTTTTTAGGGTTAGCACTTTTAATTTTTTGTTCCTTTTAAAAAAATTTTTTTTATTTTATATAGGACTATAGTTGATTTACAATGTGTTAGTTTCAGGTATACAACAAAGTGATTCAGTTATACATGTATACATATAGCTATTCTCTTTTCAAATTCTTTTCCCATTTCGGTTATTACAGAATATTGAGCAGAGTTCCCTGTGCTATACAGTAGATCCTTGTGGGTTATCTATTTTAAATATAGTAGTGTGTACATTGGAGAAGGAAATGGCAACCCACTCCAGTACTCTTGCCTGGAGAATCCCAGGGACAGAGGAGCCTGTTGGGCTGCCGGCTATGGGGTCGCACAGAGTCGGGCACGACTGCTGTGACTTAGCAGCAGCAGCAGCAGTAATGTGTACATGTCAGTCCTAAACTCCCAGTTTATCCCTCTCCCATCCCCTTACCTTTGGTAACCATAAGTTTATTTTCTAGGTCTGTGAGTCTATCTCTGGTTTGTAAATAAGTTCATTTGTATCATTTTTTTTTTTAGATTCCACATATAAGTGGCATTACTTGATATTTATTCTTCTGTCTAACTTACTTCACTTAGTATGATAATCTCCAGGTCCATCCATGTCGCTGTAAATGGCATTACTTCATTCTTTTTAATGGCTGAGTAATATTCCATTTATATATGTACCACATCTTCTTTAACAGTGGCTACCATTTTGGCAGACATGTACTAATTGACTCAGAACAGTCTATGAAGTAGGTACCAATACTAAAACTCCATTTCATAAATGATGACACTGAGACACAGGGAGAAAAGGAAAACAATAGTGCTTTTACACTAATCAGCCTAATTCTACAACTGCAGGTTGTAACCTCGACTGCATACCCAAATCACCCAAATAACTTAAAAAAATTCCAATGCCCTGCCACACCCTGAGATTCAGATGAATGAATAAACTAGCATGATGATAATGTAGTGAGCTGCTAAGATTGATCCTCACATTTTAAAATCCTTGAGTAGAAATAAAGTGCTACTTTGAGATTTGTCATCTTTCTGATCTTTCTTTGGGGGAAGACTGCTCATTGTTTTGAAGCACAATCCTTTTTGTTTTCAAACTGCTGCTGTAACATTAGGAGAAACTAGAGCCAAATGGTGGCACACAGCTCCAGACTGCCACCCCTCAGCAGAAAAAAAAAGCAGAAACTGTCAGGGCCCACACTGTCAAAACTCTGGAAAGCAATTAAAGGTTTACAGCAACCAAATGCCAAATCAAGAAAAAAGCAACTTAAAAATGGTCCTGGTGTTTAAGGAAATCTCTATCAAAATGTCAGCTAAACACAAGCCAAAATAAGAAAGACTGCATTGATGATGCATGACAAGGGATAGTCTTTGCAAAAACAGTTGGTAAACGTCACTCAGAAGTACAAGGGTAGCCTTCAACAATCAAATACCAGCAAATCCTAGAGGAGGGAGGAGAGAATCTGATTTCTGGAGCTACCACATTATAATTTTCAAATGTTATTTTTTGACAATAAATCACAATGTATAAAAAGAAACAGGTAAGTATGACCCACTCAGAGAAACCAAATAAATTGACATAGTCATCCCTGAAGAAGCCCAAACACTGGACTTACTTGACAGACTTTAAAACAACTCTGTTAAATATGCTCGGGCTTCCCAGGTGGCACCGGTGGTAAAGAATCTGCCTGCCAATGCAGGAGATGGAAGACATGTGGGTTTGATCCTGGGTTGGGAAGATCCACTGGAGTAGGAAATGGCAATCCACTTCAGTATTCTTTCTCAGAAAATCCCATGGACAGAGGAGCATGGCAGGCTACAGTTCATGGGGCTGCAAAGAGCTGGACACGACTGAACAACTGAGCCCATAAATATGTTCAAAGAGTCTAAGAAAACCACATATTAGGCTACAAGACAGATGTCAATAAATTTAAAAAGATAAACATCATACAAAATCTTCCCTAGCCACAATGAAGTGAAGCTATAAATCAATAATAGAAGGAAAACTGGAAAATCCACAAATACGTGGAAATTAAACAACACATTCTTAAGCAACCTGTGTGTCAAAAAATAAACCACAAGAAGAATTAATAAATACTTTGAGATGAATAAAAACAAAAATACAACATGCTAAAAAGTATGGGATGCAGAAGAAATAAATCAACAACCTAACTTTATATCTTGAGGAACTAGAAAAAGAAGAGCAAACTAAAAGTTAGCAGAAAAAAGGAAACAATAAAGATTAGAGCAGAGATAAATGAAACAGAGGATAGAAAGACAACAGAATCAATGATATTGAAAGGTGGTTCTTTGAAAAGATATCAAAACGGAGAAATGTTTTGTCACAATGATAAAGTAAAAAAAGAGAAAAAAAATGCACATAAGTAAAATCATAAATGAAAGTGGAGACATTACTTCCAACCTTACAGAAATAAGAATACTGTGAATAACTGTACGTACACCTACAAATTAGAACATCTAAATGAAATGGACAAATTCATTAGAAACATACCTAATCGGACTCAAGAAGAAATAAAATCTCAGCAGATATTTTACAGGAGTAATCTACAAGTGAGAATAATCAAAAACTTTACAACAAAGAAAAGTCTAAGACCAGATGTTTTCAAAGGTAAATTCTAAATACTTAAAGAAGAATTAACACCATCTTTCTCAAATTCTTCCAAAAAATACAAGAAGAGGAAAGGTTTTCTAACTTATTCTATGAGGCCAGCATCACTCTGATACAAAAATAAAGACATTATTAGGAAAAAAATTACAAACTAATATCCCTTGTGAATATAGATGCAAAATCTTAAACAACGTACAGCAAATAGTCCAAAAGCATATTAAAAACACATTGTGACCAAGTATGATTTATTGCTGGAGTGCAAAAATGGTTTAACATAAGAAATGCAGTCAATGTAATACTTCACAGTAATTGAAAACACACACACACACACACAATGTCTCAACTGACCCAGAAAAGGCATTTGAAAAAATCAAAACCCTTCATGATAAAAACACTCAGAAAACTAGGAATAGAACCGAACTTCCTCACCATGAGCAAAGGCATTGACAAAAAGCCCACAGCTGGCATAATACTCAATGGTAAAAGGCTAAAGTCTTTCCTCTTAAGATCAGAAGAAGAACAAAGATACTGCTTTCACCATTGCTATTCAACATTGTATTGGAACATCTAACCAGAGCAACCAGGCAGGAAAAAACAATAAACAAATCCAAACTGGAAAGGAAGAACTAAAAGTATCTCAATATACAGATGACATAATCCTATATATTAACATAGAAAACTACAGAGTATCCATCAAGAAGCTACTAGAGCTCATAAATGAATTCAATTGCAGTGTACAGACTAATTCAGAAAAATCACTTGTGTAGAAACACAAGTAATTAACACAGCAGTAATTAATCATCTAGGAAGAAATTAAGAAAAAAAATTCTATTTCCATGTCTCCAAAAGCATAAAAGACCTAGAAATAAGTTTAGCCAAGGAGGTGAAAGATTTGTACTCTGATGAGTACAAACATTGCTGAAACAAATTAAAGAAAAACCAGTGGTTTGGGGAGTATTGAAAAATTTTGGATAGACAGTGGTAGTGGGTACACAATATTGCAAATGCACTTAATAAATTGTACACTTAATAGTTAAAATGGAAAGTTATCCTATACATGTTTTACCATAATAAAAAGGTTATAAACAAGACAAGCAAAAAGACTGTAAAGAGAATGTAAACTTTGATTAACAATGTAAAGTCCTCTCTTAATCATTAGCAGAGCCACCTCTTAGCTAATGATTCTGAGATTGACATGATACCTGGGAAAAAGAAGAAATTGCTTTTCCCTCTCCTTGGCATTAGGAAATGTCAGAGGTTCTGTACTGTGGGTGAGTGGCTCATAGCCTTTCCCATGGGAAGTGTGGGAGTTTGCCCCTGCGACCTGGTGACTGGACACAGGTTAGGTCTAGGACAAGAGGGGATCATAGGAAGATGTCCTGTGGATGGAGCTTGACCTTGTAATTCTAAGAACAGCAATGACCAGTCTTCATGGTTCAGTTTTAGATTTTTCTTCTTTTAATGTGTTGATCAAACACTGGTTGAGCCTCTATTACATGCACTCTTAGGGTACCATGAAGACATTGTGGGTAAGACTGACACCTGGTCTTTGCACAGGAGAAGCCTTATTTTAGTGGGACAGAAAAAGCCACACAAATAAGCCTAAATAAAAAATTTATAAACTATGGGTTCAATCCATGGGCTGGGAAGATCCCATGGAGGAGGGCATGGCAACCCACTCCGGGATTCTTGCCTGGAGAATCCCATGGACAGAAGAGTCTGGCGGGCTATAGTCCAGGGGGTCTCAAGAGTCGGACATGACTGAGGGACTAAACACACAAGCGCAAGGTCATAGAGGAGTTAAAAATAGGGGCTGAGAAAGAGGGTACCTCACCTTTGATTAGGAGGCATTTGGGGCATAAAGAGGGGAGGAAGCCCCCTAAGTGAAGGTCCAAGAGGAGAACATTCCAGGAAAAGGGAAGAGCAAGCGCCAGACACTAGCAGGGCCTATGCATCTTGAGGGTTCTGAGTGAGGTCAAGAATAAAACTCCTAGAGGAGAACATAGGCAAAACACTCTCCGACATAAATCACAGCAGGATCCTCTATGACCCACATCCCAGAATGTTAGAAACAAAAGCAAAAATAAACAAATGGGACCTAATGAAACTTAAAAGCTTTTGCACAACAAAGGAAACTATAAGCAAGGTGAAAAGACAGCCCTCAGATTGGGAGAAAATAATAGCAAACGAAGAAACAGACAAAGCATTAATCTCAAAAATATACAAGCAACTCCTCCAGCTCAACTCCAGAAAAATAAATGACCCAATCAACAAATGGGCCAAAGAACTAAACAGACATTTCTCCAAGGAAGACATACAGATGGCTAAAAAACACATGAAAAGATGCTCAACATCACTCATTATCAGAGAAATGCAAATCAAAACCACAATGAGGTACCATTAGACGCCAGTCAGGATGGCTGTTATCCAAAAGTCTACACAAGCAATAAATGCTGGAGAGGGTGTGGAGAAAAGGGGACCCTCTTACACTGTTGGTGGGAATGCAAACTAGTATGGCCGCTATGGAAAACAGTGTGGAGATTTCTTAAAAAACTGGAAATAGAACTGCCATATGACCCAGCAATCCCCCTTCTGGGCATACACACCGAGGAAACCAGATCTGAAAGAGACACGTGTACCCCAATGTTCATCGCAGCACTGTTTATAATAGCCAGGACATGGAAGCAACCTAGATGCCCATCAGCAGACGAATGGATGAGGAAGCTGTGGTACATATACACCATGGAATATTACTCAGCCATTAAAAAGAATTCATTTGAATCAGTTCTAATGCAATGGATGATATTGGAGCCCATTATACAGAGTGAAGTAAGCCAGAACGATAAAGACCATTACAGTATACTAATGCATATATATGGAATTTAGAAAGATGGTAATTATAACCCTATATGCAAAACAGAAAGAGAGACACAGATGTATAGAACAGACTTTTGGACTCTGTGGGGGAAGGCGAGGGTGGGATGTTTCAAGAGAACAGCATCAAAACATGTATATTATCTAGGGTGAAACAGATCACCAGCCCAGGTTGGACGCATGAGACAAGTGCTCGGGCCTGGTGCACTGGGAAGAGCCAAAGGGATCGGGTCGGGGAATACATGTAAATCCATGGCTAATTCATGTCAATGTATGACAAAAACCACTACAATATTGTAAAGTAATTAGCCTCCAACTAATAAAAATAAATGAAAAAAAAAGAAAAGAATGGCATGGTACAAGGATGGGGAGGAAGGTAAACACATCATTCAGAGCAGGGAAGGCGTGGCAAGTTACAAATTGCTGTTATCTCTAAAACTTGAAAAAACTTATAATTAAGGTGATGTCTTGTTCTTGGATACATTTGGAGGTCTCTTAACAGAGGAGCCTACACAGGCAGCTATCTGGGGGAAAAGGAAGGCGCTAGCCAGGAGAAGCCAGCTGGTTATGATATGAAGAGCAACAGATCGTTAGGAGGAAGATGGGTAAAGTGAAAAGCAGCAAGCAAGATGGGTTTGTGGTACAGCAAAGCATTCCTTGGAGAGCCCTAGAAAACACTTAAAGACGGGAATCTGCCCAGAGGCCAGTTCCATGGACAAACAGGATGTGGACTTTGGTTAACTGACCATTAAAGGGTACAGTATGCCCTGAGGACTAGAGAAATTAAGAACATTGAGAATAGTTGCTTGTTTTCAGAGCCATTTTAACCACAAGATTATGCAATCTCTGAGAACAGGGATGTCAGTGAATGCAGGAATTATATCTTATTTATATCTCTTTTCAGTGTTTAGCACAGAATGTGGCAGATAATAGGGATTCAATAAAAATAGCCTAAGCAAATGGATACAGAGGGATAGAAGAATGGATGACCATTAGTTGAGTGTGTAGGGAGGTGGGTGGATGATTGAGTGGATGAATGGATGATCATTGTTGTTGTTTAGCTGGTAAATTCTGTCTGACTCTTTGGCGACCTTACAGACTATAGCTCACCAGGCTCCTCTGTCCACGGGATTTCCAGGCAAAAAAACTGGAGTGGGCCGTCATTTCCTTCTACAAAGGATCTTCCCATTGGCAGGTGGATTCTTTACCACTGAGCCACCAGGGAAGCCCATGGATGATTAGAGGCAAGGTGAATATTTAAGGCTTCACCATCATTATTACACACAAAACCACTGTGTAAAATTCTACTGAGCCCCTGTAAGTTACTTTTCTGAAACCTGACCTCTAAACTCTGACAGAGGATAATGTAGTTAGTTACAAAATTAATTTGATTCAGCCTGAAATCCAGCAATGATGCTCAACCATATAATTCCATCTTTTCTGTGACCAGACACTCCCTACTTCTGCTAGCCCTGACATCAGGAGATTCTGCTTCTAGCAAAGACCAGACATGCCTCTCTAGGACTGGCTGCTCCCAGTGATTCCTCAAAAGAATGGGGCCCAAAACAGCTGAGACACAACTTAGTGACTGAACAACATTTCCCCTCATTTTAAGGTTGGTAACCTGACCTAGGCTCTGCCAATTAGATTCCCTTCCAGGAGATCGCAACATTTGAATTGAGAGTTAGGAGAAAGCACTAGGGAATCAAGTTAATTGCAGAGACCTGGGTAGGACATTCGGATGTAAAAGATCGCTGCTGGGACACCCAGGGCTTCTCTTTCTGAAGCTGGGGTGTTCAGCTCCTTCTCACAGTCACGAAGCTGCCAGCTCCTGCAGGAAGCTCACCCACTGGAAGCTTTCCAACAAATGGTAGCAGCCATGAGGATTCCCACGACCCTGAGTGTGAGGGGACTATTTACCTGAGAGGAATTGCATTTCCTCATCTCCTTCTCCTTCTTGGCCAGACGCTTCTTTTTCTTGTGAAGAGGCTTGGACTCCAAAATCATTTCTTCGAGCTCAAAGGTGGGGTCACAATTCAGCCTGCCTTTCTGCAAGGAAGACAGGTTGACTGATTCCTTACATTCCTGTCTAAAAATAAACCGGACTGAATAAGGAGAATAAAGCTCAGTCCTGCATGAACAGTCCAAGAATAATGAGCTAGGGATTTCCACGCAAAGTTTCAGGTAATTTATCGCCAGCCTTGTTTTTCATGTTCTTTTTGTATTTTGTTTATTTGGCTAAACTCCCAAGGAGCCTTCCAGGAGTTAGAAAGGAAATCCTATTATAATTATCTTTCTAAAGTTTGCCCTTTGGGGCTATGTTTCTCAAAGTAGGTTCAGTGGTGGATCAGAATCACCCTAAGTTGATCCCTAGTTCCCCAACCAGACTTCCAGATCAGTGTTTCTGAACACCAGGCCAGGAAATTGCATGTGTAACAAGCTCCCCAGATGATTCGGGTTCACAATTAAACCAGAGAAGCACGCACACAAGATCTCTGGAGGCAGCGCTGAAGGGGTGGCACGTGAAAGAGTAGAAACTACAGGAAAGGTGCCTAGATCTCCAAGGCCTCATGTGTCAGCCAAGAAGCGGTCCCTGCTGGACCCCAGGTAGGACCCCACCTCCTGCTGCTCCAGAAGGTGGCATTCCCCCATCCCAGAATTCCCCCCCCGCCTCATTGCCTTCTGGTGCCTCTTGCTTTGTACCCCACCCACCCATCTGCTGTTTGTATGTGAAGGATCACACCCCCACATGCCCATAGCAGGTGTCTGGCCTGGGCTTAAGAACAGAAAACTCTGAATTGTTTCTGCAGGCTCCTTTAAGAGATGATTATTCTGCCAATCTGCCTGCAACTGAGTGTGTAGAATCAGGCCGTGGGCAGAGAGGGGTAGAGGTCTCACTTGGCTCCTTGGCTGGAGCTCAGTAGATGCAGGAAGCCACAGATGTATTTTGGCTAGGTGGGACTTATTTCCCTTTGCTTATTAGTCACTGAGAATATGGTTCCCAGTGTAGAACCATCAATGAAAGTGAAGTTGCTCAGTCATGTAGGACTCTGTGACCCCATGGACTGTAGCCTACCAGGCTCCTCTGGCCATGGGATTTTTCCAGGCTAGGGTACTGGAGTGGGTTGCCATTTCCTTCTCCAGGGGACTTCCCAACCCAGGGATCGAACCCAGGTCTCCCACATCGCAGGCAGATGCTTTACCATCTGGGTCGCCAGGGAAGTCCGAACTACCAGAGGAAGAGGAATGAATGGTAAAAACAAATACCCAACCCAAGCAGCTTTCAGTCCTTTGACTCACAAAACTCCTTGGATACAAATGCCTACATCTTTGGAATCAGAGAAAACGTTTTAAATTGGCAGATTCCTGGAAAAGACTATTTGTAGGATTAGGACTTGTTTCCACTAAAGGGAAGCCACAAAAAAAGTAGTTAGGAGCTAGAACTCCCAACACTGACCTAGACTGGAATCCCAGCTTAGCCACCTGCTAGCCATGTGACCTTTGTCAGTCAACTTTCCCTGTGTGTGCCTTGGTTTTCTCATCTGTAAAACAGGAACACTGACTGTCTTACAACACTGGTGTGGTTATCTGATGAGACCATGTATGTATCTGGCACACAGAAGAATATGCAATGAATGAGAGCTATTAAGGGTTTATTAGGATTGACTCACGTTAGGAACAAATCCTGGAATGAGCCTCTTCTGCAGAACTGCATCCCAGTTCATATCATTCATATATGGGAAGTTTTGAATATCAGACAAATGGGAAAATCGGTGGTCCGGATTCAGTTCAAGTAGCTGCCAATGGAATACAAACACCAAGATCATGAACAAGGTCAAAACTTGGGGAGCAAAAAATCATAAAGATTCCCTATAAATATTTTCAGGAATAGGATTGAAGGAAACAAGCAGTATTTTCCTTCCTTAGTCCCACAAACAAATAATAGAGATAATAATGAGTGGTCAGAATGAGTTGTAAGTTGGTCATGTGGTGAGTGAAAACAGCTTGTCCTCCTGAGTCAAACATGTTTGACTCCTGACTCCGTAACTGATTGATGATGGGCAAGTTTGTTCTCTAAACCTCAGTTTACCCATCTGCAAAAAAGGGATAATAACCTATTTCGTTAGGTTTAGCTATGACTAAACATGGCCATGTTCAAATAAGGCCATGTTTAAAGTGACTAAGAAATCTGTTCTTGAGTGGAAAAATATACACTGATTTTAACACATGAAATTCATTTCACACTAAAAAGTTTAGCAATGTTTATAACTAATCAATATATACTGGGAGTGACACAGATGTCATTAAGATTACTGCAACAGTTCTGGGTTTTGTGAACTGAGATTTAAGATTTTGTTTCCTCACTCGAACCACCCTAGAACCAATATCATTACGGTCCTGTGGTTTGGATGGGAAGGAGCAGTTCCACTTGAGAATGGGCCTGAAGGTGATCACTGTGGGTCATCAGGGTGCAATTCCGGGGAGAGAAGGCTGTCTTGGAACTAAGGAAAATTTTTTTATGGAAAATGACTTCTGGCCCCATTCTTTATTTTTTGACATCGCCAACAACAGAGTATCCCTATTGGAAAACAGAACACTTGACCCAGAGACAAGTGACATAGGCTTTGAAGTCTTAGTCCACAAAGCTCTTTTCCTTGACTAGCTACAACCTGTGCAGTTTTCTCTCTTCAGAAAAAAGGCAAGTTCATCCTCTTGGGCTCCTCAGTTTTCTTTCACACAATACACATGATTGAGATTCTGCCTCAATTATCCTTCATCTTCCTGGTGAACATGGGTACATTGAAAAATCTGATGAAAATCATTGGACCTCATTAGTTCAAATTCCAAATTTTACCACTTGTCAGGCTGTGTGTTTGGTGCTGAGGACACCATGGTGACCAAGTCAGATGTGGTCCTTCCCTTGTGCAGCTTGAGAGCAACGGTATTAACCCAAAAGTCACACATGTGCAATGTGTAATTTCAAATTGTGAAAAATATGATGAAGGAAAGTTCATGCTTGTGTGAGCTGACATTAGAGGGAGGCTCCCTGAAGAAGTGAGATTTGAGCTGAGATCTAATGCTGTGTTTCTCAAACTATGCAGAAGGGCTAGATATTTCTCTTTGGTTTAATTTCCAACCCACTGAAACCATTATGTGGTGTTACTGTGTGTGGCTAGTATGGAACTCCACACCGTGTGCAACTGGTGATTTGAGCATGACATCACCACATAATCTGGTACCCTGTTCAGTGAGAGGAGTCCACTGACCATGTGCTTTGAGGCATCAGCAGCATCAGCTATACAATTTTTTTTTTTTAAACACTTCTCTCAATTTCTGTGTTTTGTTATGGACCCAGTGGGGAGTAATTAATGTACTTGGACCACTTAGTGAATCACATTGAGTAGTAATAACCTAAAGAAGGGAGCCAGAAGAACTGGGGGTGGGAGCAGTGTTCTAGGCAGTGAGACTAGCACGTGCAAAGGCCTGGGGCGAGAGACTGGTATTTGAGGGTGAGGTCGGGGAGGGGAAAGAGAAGGGAAAGGAAGCACAGGGCAGTTTGTGTCATCAAACAGGGGACGAAAGTCCAAAATAAGACTCGAGGGGTGGTTAGAACCTTTACACCAAACAAATTATTTTGATATTTATTCTAAGAACAATAGGAAAACAATGACCTGTGCTTTGAACAGGTCCCTGTGGGGCAGAGCAGAGAGCAGAATGGAGTGTGCAAAAGTGTACAGGGCAATCTAAACTTGATGGCAGTAGGACTGGGAAGAAGATAGGGGAGAGGGAGAGAAGTGTCAGATTCAAAAGGTATCTAAAAGGTCAAATAACAGAACATGGTGATGGAGTGGATATGAGGATGATGAGTGATTTCCGGTTCTGCCTTGTATAAGTGGGTGGATGGAGAGGCCAGTGACTGAGTGAGGGAACGCTGGAGAAAGTCCAGGAAATACAGAGTTCAAGAATTCCATTTGGGGCACATGGAATTTGAAATGTCTTTTGAGACATTCAAGAGGACACGTGTATTGCCTTATTAATGAAGCCAGGTATTTGAAATCTGTTAGCTGCAAAACCCACTCCAGAAATGTATATTATTATGACAGCCTCCAGTATCATAACCATTTTTTTCGTTTTGATGTGGACTGGTTTTTTTTTAAGTCGTCATTTAATTTGTTACAATATTGCTTTTATTCTTTATGTTTTGGTTTTTTGGTGGTAAGGCATGTGGGATCTTAGTTCCCTGGCCAAAGCTTGAACTCCCAACCCCTGCACTGGAAGGCAAAGTCTTAACAACACTGGACCTCCAGGGAAGTCCCTGTAACTTAACCTTCAAACTAGATCACTTGCTTCTTTTTATCACTTCCTTTTGTCCTGCATTCATCCTTCTTACCTTTTTAAGAAGGGATACCATCTCCTGTGACCAGGCAGAAGGGTAAGTCACTAGTGCTGTCTCAAACATGTGTGCAATTTCCTTGCTGGAAGTACTGGAGCGAATATGATACGGTCTCTTAAAAGAGAGAAGTGAGAGTCTTCAGTTTTATAGGGTAAAAGGAAAAACATTGCTTTGTAAATGTTTCCAAGCTAAATTTTCAACCAATAAAATATCAGTAGGATTTTCTAATCCCCTCCAGCTGATTGTTTTGTTGCCATATGCAGATACAGTACATGGTTGCCACATTTCCTGCTTTTTAAAAAGATACAGAAAGACTACAGTTTCTCACAAAACCTCCAAGTTCTTAAAAGCTGGTAATCCCTCTGGGTAAAAGAAACTTTTTTGTGGGCTAAATCCACCTCTGAGATGTCAATTTGGAACTGTCTTATAAGGTTAATTTAGAGAAGTATTTACCTAAAATACTGAACAGTGTGTAGAGTTAGTTGCTCAGTCATGTCAGACTCTGCGACCCCGTGGACTGTAGCCCACCAGGCCCCTCTGTCCATGGAATTTGCCAGGCAAGAATACTGGAGAGGGTTGTCATTCCCTTCTCCTGGGGATCTTTCCAACCCAGGGATCAAACCTGGGTCTTCTGCATTGCAGGTGGGTTCTTTACTGTCTGAGCCACCAGAGACGCCCAGTGCTCAGTAAATAGAAGTTTTAAAAATTATTATTTAAGTGCTGATTATAAAGAGATTCAGAGTTTTACCAGACACACACCTCTTTTTAATTGTTTGAATCATAAAGACAAAGTTCAGGTTGGAAGGTTACACAGAAGACTTCAACCCCTGCTCCAAATGCAATGAGCTGCTAGTTCTTTGGAGCTGGGGGGAGAATTTTATGATGAGACAAAAGTATTTTTAGTTTCAAGAGAGCCAGACTCTGCTATAATTTTAACTTGGGGGGAAAGAGGGAAAGAAATGAAAGGGAGTAATTTGTTAGTAATTTTCACAGATGTCCACTAGAGAGCAGCCTTTACCAATGCTGATTTCTTTGTTTCATAAAGGATTCACCCTGGGATTCTCTCTATGTGAAGTGAGCTACTTAAAGCTAGGGGCTGCTGCTGCTAAGTCGCTTCAGTCATGTCTGACTCTATGCGACTCCATAGGCGGCAGTCCCTGGGATTCTCCAGGCAAGAATACTGAAGTGGGTTGCCATTTCCTTCTCCAATGCATGCATGCATGCAAAGTTGCTACAGTCATGTCCGACTCTGTGCGACCCTATGGACAGCAGCCCACCAGGCTCCTCCATCCACAGGATTCTCTAGGCAAGAATACTGGAGTGGGTTGCCATTTCCATACCATATTCGCATTTTTTGCCCTTGGGACCTAGCACCTAGTAAGTGCTCATTATATGTTTGTTGAATGAACAAGATTTTCACATTAGATTAACCAACAATAGGACAGTAACTGTGACTGTGTACATTTATCATGTGCATGGGTCTTTCAAGGCACAATGACCGTGGACTGATAAATTGGGAGAAATGAAAGAGCTTAATTTTTCCTTGTTGATATCAGTATTTGAGGTATATGAAGTATATGAAGGTCATATAATGTAATTAAATGTTTAAGCTTTGAAGGTAAAAGGATTTGAGTGCTAAACTGAGCCAGTCAATTTTAGTTTCTATTCCTTCTTCTGTAAAATGAACCACTTTAGAGGATTGTTGGGAAAATTAAATGACATGATACATGTAAAGTTCTCAATAGAGTGAGTGATATATGTTAGACACAATACAGGAGAGATGTTATTATTATTGAAGTAAAGGTAAAAAGAATGGTGGAGATATTGAGTTGGACAAAAGGTTCATTCAGGTTTTTCCAAACAATTTCATAGAAAAACCTAAGTGAACTTTTGGACCAACGCAATAAATGTAGATCATGAATAGAAAGATGAGTCAGCAATAAAGGTGATGTGAAGGAAGTCTTAATTCTAAACATGCCATGTCAACACCTGTTACCCAGGGAACCAGGAAGTGCTAGGTCTGACTCCCTAAAAGGGAGCCTGGCCAAACTTTATTTATTTTTTTTTTAATGTGAGGTTTAAAAACACTGCCACATACTTTCTTCCCTCAAGACTGAATAAATGACCATAATTAATTCATCTGTTTCAGTAATGACAGAGTGGAAATAACCCTTGTAACTCAATACCAGAAAAAGAGTCTACCTTATCAACATCATCAATGTTTATTGACTGTTTGCAAGCCGAGGGCTCTGTGGGTCACTACCTGTGACTCACTGCATGTTCACCATTAAGAGCTAGGGCAAGTTGACACACTCAAGCTTCTGGGGTTATTTGTGTGTGTGTGTGTGTATGTTTTCTTTTTTTTAAATTTTCTTCTTCAGTCCACTGATATTTCTAAACCTAATTCTGAGACATGTAAATACACAAAATGCTTTGATAAACTAATAAATTAACTGACAAATGCTATAAGCAAATGGTTTAAGATTATGCTGCATTTTTTCTTTTATTTTAGAAGGTCATAGGACTGAATTCAATATATATATATTTTAAATCCTCATGGTCTGTCCACTTGTTCCAAATAGTCCAATTGCCTTTGTCTTATACAATAACCTATTTTTCTAGTTTTAAATTTTAAAATCCGCATTAAGCCATCAACAACCAGAACTGTATATTTATTCACTTATCAAATATTGATTGAATGCCTGTAATGTTTCAGCACCTCTGCTGGGCACTGGGGGTACAATGAAGACAGGACAGATGGGATTTCTACACTGGTGGAGCCTATAGTCTACTCAGTGAAGCCATGAATAATTACAGAGACTGTACAGATATACATACACATTCACACAGAAGTCAATGGGATACGGTGATATAAAGAAAAATAACAGTGTACAATGACAGGATATAGCAGACAATTCCAGGGTAGCATATAAATTAAGAATGAGAATATAAAGAATAAACAAGATGGAAAAGGTAAAATGTCAGATGGGACAAAGTATGATTCTAATCTTATTTCAGGAGTACAAAAGCAAAAGAGCTTCAGCCAAGGATGTACAATTAGTGCAAAACAACATATGTCCCTATCATAAGCTAATACTATGGATATTACAACTAGAGAAGATGTGGATCTTGCCTTTACAGTGTGAGCTGGGACACAGAATGACAAAGAAGCTCAAGGGCTAAGGGACCCATTCATCAAGACCATGGCCAGGCTCTTACATTACAGGGATGTTTCAGGCACATTTCCCTTTGAAGCATGTGAAAGTGAAAGTCGTTCCGTCATGTCCAACTCTTTGCAACCCCATGGGCTATACAGTCCATGCAATTCTCCAGGGCAGAATACTGGAGTGGGTAGCCTTTTACCTGCTTCTCCTGGGGATCTTCCCAACACAGGGATCGAACCCAGGTTTCTCACATTGCAGGCAGATTCTTTACCATCCCAGCCACCAGGGAAGCCCTTGAAGCATGTATTTTTCTGTAAATCACAATCTGTCCATGTGGAAAGAATGACTGTTTAGTACCTTTCTTCTGTGGTTTTTTTGTGTTGCTAGTTGTAATTAAATGTTGCTATTTCATTTCTTTGAGTTGGCTATATTTTGAAACATAATTACATATAGTCTCTTTGGTGATTCTCTCCAAGAATATGTCAGAATTGATTTGTATTGACTTATTCCCCCATACATTCAACAAACATTTGTCAGGTACCTATTTACAGCTAAATACTGTGGGTAATACTAAACTATATAAAACACTGGCTTTATCTTTAATAAACTTATACTCATAGAAGAGATTGAAAACATAAAAATTGATATAGCTAGAAAAATTTGCAAGGGCAATACATTTATGAAATGGCTTTAATCCTAAAACAGAAAAAAAAGGTCTCAACAGAAAGGTTAAAGCATAATTTTATTTTTACAGAAAAAACAATAACAATGTGTATGTGCATGTATGTGAAAATAGACTATCTTTATAAAAGCAGAAAAGGTTTGGAAGTGAATACACTCTGAAAGATGAGATTTAGAAGGTCAGAGGAGGGTTTAATTTCTTAACTGAGACTTTGCTTTAGAGGATGTGGTTGACTTCTACCTTTATTTTTCTCCTTTTCTATATTTTAAAAATAATTTTAAATTCAGAAGGCTTATAAGAGAGTAGTGAAATCGCTCAGTTGTGTCCAACTCTTTGTGACCCCATGGACTGTAGCCTGCCAGGCTCCTCTGTCCATGGAATTTTCCAGGCAAGATTATGGAGTGGGTTGCCATTTCCTTCTCCAGGGGATCTTCCCAACCTAAGGATCAAACACTGCAGGGTCTCCCATACCACAGACAGACTCTTTACCACTTGAGCCACCAGGGAATATCCCTATATAAGAGAGAGAAAGTACATAAATATTTGGAAGATACACAGATCACTTTAGCTTTCAGAGAAAGTTTCTTCAGAGAAGGAGCTGTGTTGTTGAGGTCCATAAAGAATGGGTAGGATCTGCGTATGAAAAGACCTGGAGAAAGGCTTTTCCTGCAGAAGAAATTTGGGACAGTCCGAGTCTGTCCTTTGTTAGAAATGAACACCTTGTGGACTCTGGGAGAAGGCGAGGGTGGGATGTTTCAAGAGAACAGCATCGAAACATGTATATTATCTAGGGTGAAACAGATCACCAGCCCAGGTTGGGTGCATGAGACAAGTGCTCGGGCCTGGTGCACTGGGAAGACCCAGAGGGATCAGGTGGAGAGGGAGGTGGGAGGGGGGACCGGGATGGGGAATACATGTAAATCCATGGCTAATTCATTTCAATGTATGACAAAAACCACTGCAATGATGTAAAGTAATTAGCCTCCAAAAAAAAAAAATAAATAAAAAATTTAAAAAAAAATAAATAAATAAAGTTCTAGGCAAAAAAAAAAAAAAAAAGAAAGAAATGAACACCTACATGAAATATAAGGATTCTGAAAAGTTCTACAATTTAGACCCCTCCTGAACTTTATTCAAACTTGATTTAGCGATTTCCAAACTTATTCAAAGAGTTATTTAAAAAACAAACAGGGTTTATCTTAGGAAATATCTTTATAGGCAAAGGAATGAGAGGAAGACCTTTGAGGGGTGCCTCGAGAGATGAGGAAGTCCAAAGAAGCTGAAGTGAGTTTGCGAAGAGTCAGCATCGTTCATACTGAAGCAAAATCTGAAAAGTTAACCTGGTACTAAAGAGCAAAGGATGACCAGCTAAGGTGTCTGACTAGTGTGTGGGGAAGGGGAGGGTTGATAAGGCAGATGAAGGGTATATGTGTGTGAGGAATTAGGTAGCAACATTTTTCCTTCACTAGGAAAAGAGAGATTTGTGCTTTACAAAAGAGACTCTGCATTGCCATGTTCATTGCAGCATTATTCACAGCAGCCAAGACACCAAAATAACCAAAATGTCCACAAACAGATTAATAAAGACATGTGTATATGTAAAATATATATATTTATACACATATGTATTTATATGGGGCTTCCCAAGCGGTGCAAGTGGTAAAGAACCCGCCTGCCAATGCAGGAGACACGACAGACACAGGTTCAATCCTTGTGTCGGGAAGATCCCCTGGAGAAGGAGATGGCTACCTGTTTCAGTATTCTTGCCTGAAAAATTTCATGGACAGAGGAGCCTGGCAGGCTACGGTCCACGAGGTCACAAAGAGTTGGACATGACTAAGTAAACATATTTACACATTATATTATATGTGTGTTCAGTCACTTAATCATGTCTGACTCTTTGCAACCGTTTGGACTGTAGCCCACCAGGCTCCTCTGTCCATGGGTCTCTCCAGGCAAGAGTACTGGAGTGGGTTGCCCTTCCCTTCTCTAGGGGATCTTTCCAACCCAGGGACTGAACCCACGTCTCCTGCATTGCAGCAGATATGGATATATTATAAAAGAATAATGGAGCATTACATATAACATATAAAATACATATTCACATACAATATATATGAGTAATGGAATATTATTCAGCCATAAGAAAAAAGGAAATCCTAATATTTGTAACAACATAGATGGGCCTTGTGTCCAATATGCAAAGTGAAATAGACAGAGTAGACAAATACTGCATGATATCATTTATATGGAATCTTTGGGGAAAAAGTCAAGCTTATTGAAACAGTAGAATAGTAAGTATAGTTGCCAAGGGTTGAGGTTGGGGAACATAGGGAGAGGCTAGTAAAAGCATACACACTTTTAGTTATGAGCTGAATAAGGAAAAGGAGAAGGGAGCGCAGAAGATGAGATGGTTAGATAGCATCACCAACTCATTGGACATGGATTTGAGCAAACTCTAGGAGACAGTGGAGGACAGAGGAGCCTAGTGTGCCGCAGTCCATGGGGTTGCAAAGAGTCAGACACGACTTAGAGACGGAACAACAACCACAACAAATATAAGTGTAACATTCACTATAGCTGATAACATATATGTAGATACAAATTCAGCAACCTAACAGTCACTTTTCTCCACCTTTCTTAAGCAAAAGAAGAAAGAAAAATGAAACTAACGGTGTTAATACATTCTCAGTTACAGCCAATCACAGGGAACTATTGGGAGATACAATAATATGGGAGGGAGAAAAAAAAATCTCTTCTTAGCAAAATTAGGCATTTTCTTAGTTTAAGAAATGTTACTTTTATTTATTTTTTTCCCCATTTATTTTTATTAGTTGGAGGCTAATTACTTTACATCATTGCAGTGGTTTTTGTCATACATTGAAATGAATTAGCCATGGATTTACATGTATTCCCCATCCCGGTCCCCCTTCCCACCTCCCTCTCCGCCCTATCCCTCTGGGTCTTCCCAGTGCACCAAGTCCGAGCACTTGTCTCATGCACCCAACCTGGGCTGGCGATCCGTTTCACCCTAGATAATATACATGTTTCAATGCTGTTCTCTTGAAACATCCCACCCTTGCAAAAAGGAAACTACTCTAATTTGCCACTGAATCCAGAACCCAAGAGCCAAATAAAAGACCGAGATCCAACAAGACAGGGCATGAATTGTGTTGGACTAATAATTCACACTCACTTTGGGGAAGTGTGTCTGAATCAAAGCCTTGGACTGTAACTGCAAAATGATTTTATTTAAACAAACAAATATATTTATACAAGATAGGGCATGAGCTATATTGATTTTCCCTCTCTGGGAGTTGATAATTTCCCTATAATTCATTTAATTTTATCTGCATAATTTAATGTCAACTCATTTTCTTGGTCCCATATGTAGAAGACTGAATTAATTATGGGCAGAAATCCCAAGGGTTGAAACCAGCATCACATGGCAGAGTTAATTTCATCTCTGAAACAAACTACCTGATTTTTAGCAAAAAAAAAAAAAAAAATTCCATTCTTTCACTGTACAAATGAAACTTACTGGAAGAGTAATCAAAGATAAATGTAATTCTACTATACCCGGCCTCTCAGCAGCTCATATGCTGTCACTCCCAGTGACCACCAGTCAACAGCAAAGGAATAGCCTGCTTCTCTTCTGCAGTTGAACATCTCAGGTGCTGAAAAACACAGCAGAGTTAAGTTAGTTTTACTCCCCGATTGAATGAATTGTGTGTGTTCAGTCATGTCTGACTCTTTGTAACCCTATGGACTGTAGCCTGCCTGGCTCCTCTGTCCATAGGATTCTCCAGGCAAGAATATTGGAGTAGGTTGCCATTTCCTCCTCCAGGGCATCTTCCCAACCCAGGGATTGAACCCACATCTCCTGCATGGGCAGGCGGATTCTTTACCACTGAGCCACCTGGGAAGCCTGCTTTGCTCCCTCAGACATTAACAAATTTATCTTCAAACATGTTCCTTCAAAGGCAAATTACCAGGGTACAGGGTATAAGCACTTCTAAGGGTGTTTATCATCCATTGCTAGATTGCTCACTGTAGGCAATTTTTCTAATTTTCTAGTCTTTCTCATTAATCACCAACACACACAGGCATGCACAGTTCTTAACGGATAAGTTTTTCTTTGACTTAGAACATGTGCCTATTAAAACTGGATCCCATCAGGCCTCAAATGTCTGGCTGACTCTGTAAGCAAGAAGGCTGAGAAGATGTTACTTGGTTGTCTTGATTTGGAAGGATTGTGGTCTGGACATAAATTTGTATTACTGTGGCAAACAATGTTCAGAATTTGGCTCCAACTACAGGAGATTGGTTTTCCAGTTTGGAGTCATCTGGAAGGGGCAAGAGCAGCATCTGCAGCCTGATCCTGGGGATAAAGGAGAGGAGAAAGGGCGGGGCACTCAGAGTTTTACATCAGTCGTGGGGCATTGACTCTTTGTTCCATAATTCTTCCTTTTTTTTTTTCCAAATTGAAGTATAGTTGAATTACGATGTTGTGTTAATTACCCCTGTACAACAAAGCACCTCAGTCATACACATATTTATACATTTTTTATATTCTTTTCCATTATGATTTATCACATGATACTGAATATAATTCCCTGTGCTACACAGTAGGACCTTGTTGTCTGTGCTTATTTGCTTCAGTCGTGTCCTGCTCTTTGCAACCTCAGGGACTGTAGCCCGCTAAGCTACTCTGTCCATGGGGATTCTCCAGGCAAGGATACAGGAGTGGGCTGCCATGTCCTCCTCCAGGGGATCTTCCCAGCCCAGGGATCGAACCCAGGTATCCGGCAGTGCAGGCAGCTTCTTTACTGTCTTAGCCACCAGGGCAGCCCAAGAATACTGGAGTGGGTAGCCTATCCCTTCTCCAGGGGAACTTCCTGACTCAGGAATTGAACTGGGGTCTCCTGCATCATAGTTAGATTCTTTACCAGCAGAGCTACCAGTTGATTATCCATTCTATATTTACCAGTTTGCATCTGATAATCTCAAACTCCCAATCCATTCCCCTCACCACATCTCCCCCTTGGCAACTATCAGTCTCTTCTCTACATCCCTGATTTTGTTCCTCTTTCATAGATAGGTCCATTTGTGTCATATTTTAGATTCCACATATAAGTGATATCACATGGTATTTGTCTTTCTGACTTACTTCACCTAGTGTGATAATCTCTGGGCCCATTCATGTTCCTGCAAATGGCATTATTGCATTCTTTTTAATGGTTGAGTAATATTCCATTTTATATATGTACCACATCTTCTTTATCCATTCATCTGTTTCCATGTCTTGGATATTGTGAATAGTGCCGCTATGAACATAGGGGTGCACTTATCTTTTTGAATTAGTTTTCTCTGGATATATGCCCAGGAGTGGGATTGCTGGATCATATGGTAATTCTATTGTTAGTTTTTAAAGAGATCTCCATACTGTTTTCCATAGTGGCTGCACTAATTTATGTTCCCACCAACAATGTAGGAGGGTTCCCCTTTCTGCACACCCTCTCAGCATTTGCTATTGGTAGACTTTTTAATGATGGCCATTCTGATGGGTATGAAGTGGTACCTCATTGTAGTTTTGATTTCCACTTCTCTAACAATTCTTTCAATTGACTCCAGTGGAAGGCAGAACCTCAGTCAATCTTATTCCAGTGGATATCTCCAAGTACATGTTATCTAACACACTGAGAATCTTCTACCCACTCTTCTAAGAATAGACCTAACTTCTGAAGGATGGAGTGGGGAGAATGATGTAGAAAGCAAGGATAGGTCTCTTTGCTTGCTTGTCCAGTACTGAACCTGCCATTTAGAGTCACTCAATAGAAACTTGCTAAATGAATGAACAATACTGAATCAATCAGTCAATCAAGCACTGTTTGCAAACTTTAGCTGTGAAAACAGGCTGTCTGGGCTCAAACTCTGCCTTCACCACTTACTGTGACCTTAATTGAGTTAGTGGGCTGAGCATCAGAACCATCAGCAAAACCAGAATCATGAGAAGGCAGTTCTTACAGAGGTGAGAAACTAAATGAGCTAATGGCTGCCAAAATCTCAGCACAGTGTCTGGTACCTGGGAAGTTCTCAAAAAATTAGATACTCTTCTAGACGGACAAACATCTGTTGACACCAGAAATTTTAGCTAGCCAAAAGCTACACACTTGACCCAAGCTTCTGGTAGTAGGATGCAAGTTCTGGACAAAGGAAATTGGTGTGATGTGGGACAAGCACATGGGTTTGCCCTGGTGCACTCAATTTCAAGTAAACTCCTGTGGGCGACATCCAGTTAGAAAGGAATGATACTGACATCCCAATGCCAGGACTGATCCTGACTGTAAAAGCCCTTAGCAGGAATAAGTAGGCTTCATCCCCTGGTGAATTCACCTTTCATGCATCACTGCATTCTTTCTGCAAGTCACAGCTCCCCACACAAGTTGGCAGATAATGGCCCCGACCCCACAGTGCCCCCACAGACTGGATGGAGTGGACTATAACTCTGCTCTCCCTTATCATTATCTCGTAGCAAGTCATCAGACACAGTCCCACCAGGTGACAGGCGATCGATGTCTCAGAGAAGCTGCAGAGAACTTTGAGACATAAATAGACCATTGTGGTAAGAAAATATCTAACAGAATAAACATCTATAAAAGCTGTGTATTCTCTTGTCTTGGACCACCCTTGAAGTTTTTATGAGTAGAATCCTCTCCTATTTACTCTGTATTCCAGCATGAAGACATTTGAAAATGCATTTATTCATTCAATAAATATTCACAATAGGCTAGGCATTGAGGAATTTGGGAAGAATGTTAAGAACAAAGGGCAATGTATGAAAGCATGTTGTTGCTCAGCCATGTCCAACTCTTTGTGATCCCATGGACCATAGCCCGCCAGGCTCCTCCGTCCATGGGATTTTCCAGGCAAGAATACTGGAGTGGGTTGCCATTTCCTTCTCCACAAAAGCATAATGAATAGGTAATTCTTTGAACCCTCAAAGTGCTGAAAAGCCAGAGCAGGGAGACGCTGAGGGCTTCCATCAAATGTTCCATCTCTGAGGTGATACAAATAGAGGTGGCGAAGGACTGTTTCCTTAAAAAAAAAAAACCATTGAGTATTTTGTTTGTTTTTTAAAATATTTCCATATCTCCAGAAAAGTAAATAAAACACAAAAGCAGAATTTAATAAGCAGTTATAACCAAATGGCCATGTAAACTTACAACATAGAATCTTGACCTCATCACTGGGTCCTGTCCTGTTTACAAACAAAGAAGCAACCACTGTCCTGAATTTCTGTTGGTAATTTTCTTCTTGCCTTCCTACATAGATTGACTCTCTGGTTATGCATTTCTAAGCAGCAACTTAGTTTTCCCTATTTTAGTAATATATATGTTATATAGATGTTATGTTTGTATGTCTATATGAGATGTGTGTATAACATATATGCATAAATAACATGAGTATGTGTGTTTTGTGTGTGTGTGTTCAATCCTACTCCTTGTTTTCTTTGGTGTCTCGCTCTTCTTGTTCAACATTATGTGGATAAAACTTCTCCAACTTGTTACACATAATATGTTCACATTCAAAACTACACAAATACATTGTAATTTACCTGTTTCCTACTGTTAATAGCCATTGGGTTGTTTTCAATTTGGGCTATTTCGAACAAGGCTATCATGAATATTCCTGCACATGTAAGACCCTTCTAAGCCCGCCTATCTTTAGGTTACATTTCTGGGAGGGGAAATGCTGGGGATGGGCTCCTCATCTTCACACATGCTGCTGCTGCTGCTGCTGCTGCTAAGTCACTTCAGTCGTGTCCGACTCCGTGCGACCCCATAGACTGCAGCCCACCAGGGTCCGCTGTCCCTGGGATTCTCCAGGCAAGAACACTGGAGTGGGTTGCCATTTCCTTCACCAGTGCATGAAAGTGAAAAGTGAAAGTGAAGTCGCTCAGTCCTGTCCAACCCTTTGTGACCCCATGGACTGCAGCCTACCAGGCTCCTCTGTCCATGGGATTTTCCAGGCAGGAGTACTGGAGTGGGCTGCCGTTGCCTTCTCCATCACACATACTAGACAGCATCAAACTATTTACCTTGGTGGTTGTACCAATTAACATTCTGACCAGCAACACATGAGACTTCACTTTGCTCAACCTCCTTATCCATACTTGGCATTAACTAACCTTGCGACATTTTCCAATCTAGTGAGTATGTAATGGTCTTCCTCTGTGGTTTAAATTGGCATTCTCCTGATTACCAATAAGCTTGCCCACATTTTAATACATTTATTAGCTATCTGGATTTCCAGTATTTGGTTTACTTTTCAGATTTTAAAGCAACTGGACAGTAGATTCTGGTCCGGACATGAAGAAAGGGTCCAAAACTAATGTATAAATTTAGTGCAATAGAAATAGTTCATGGAATTTATTAAAATGATTCTAAATTTCCTCTGTAAAATATGTGAATAATAAAGGTCTTCTGAAAAAAGGATAAAGGGACTTGCATCTGTTAAACTGTATTATAAAGCTATAATAATTAAGATATATTGATAAAAGTCACAAAATATAGATGCTAGTACATAAAAATACTTACTTTATGATGAACATGAATATTTTAATTGGTTAAGCTAGGTAGAAGATGATGAATTCAAAAAGCAAAACTTCCTTGTTGGGTGAAGGTACTTAAGAACTGGCAGATGGTCCATAGTCTTATTGTCAGAGCTGAGGACCTGCTGTATAATATGTTTAGCATCTTACATTAGAACATGTTGTATATTCCTATAAACTTCATTCAGTATTTCATCCTAGTTTTCTTTCTTTTTAGAATTTGTTTCTTTCTGGTTCATTGCTAATTATCAGAAACACTTTAAAAAGAGAGCTGGTGAATGTCTGTTAGGTAGATTTTACCAAATTATTGGGAACATAACTTTCAAAAAAAGAAAGCAGACATCCACCTCTGATATCTCTTAGAAAGATTCCCATCCAAAAATCAAAGGCAAGAACAACTTCTGGATGAAGATATAAGTGCTGACAGTCAGATATTCATTTTTAAAAATAAAACTAGAAATATTTCTAAGAGCTTAAGCTTGGCCTACCTCATTTGGCTTACAACAATTTAAGAATCTTACATACATATATTTTTAAATCGCTCTATCTCTCTTTTAGGGAGAAGCTTGATTTTCTGAAGTCAAAAAGAGCTTGCTTTAAATGTAGGCTTTTTCAATTATTAGCCATGTGATCTTGAGCAAATTATTTCTTTTTCACCTCATTGTAAAATGGTGATAATTACAGTTTGCCTCACAGGGTTGTTGAGAAAAATAAATGAGTCAATGAATGCAAAGCATTTAACACATTGTCTGATCCCTAGAAGGCTTTCAATAAATATTGGTAATTGTTAAGTATAAGGATGAGGGTAGAGAGGGCAGAGAAACTTGACTGGATTCCATTTTCTTAGCTCTATGTGGTGAAAAAGACTGGAAATGCCAATTTTGAGGATAATCAAATTATACGGGTATTGTATTTAAAATCACTGGGGAGAGAAAAGAAAGATCATCTTCCTTTACTCCTCTCACCATGGAAACCAGGCCTAGAAAACCCAGATGCACATTTTCTGATTTGACTTCCACAAAATAGCCCTTAATATGGAAACCCAGGAAACCTGGGGAATAAACTCAGACCAGCAGGCTTGGAGATTCCTTTTTATCATTTGAGTACTGTGGATTTGGGGCAGAAAATAGACTGTATTGTATGTGTGCATTATTTTTAAAGTGACAAAAGAGACTTATTACCCCCACAGATAATTGGAAGCCAGGAAATCTGCAGGTGTTCAAATATCACATAAAATCAGGCTCATTTTCCCCCACAGATAACTTGTTTTTCCTCTCTCTTTAGTTCTACAAGTAAGACAATGAAATATTGAAGAAGGTGGCAATGTTCTTGCCTTTAATTTCAAGTTCAAATATTTTGCCTGCAAACTGCTCATAGGATTATTGCAATGATAAGCCTAAAACCAGAATTATAACGGGAGGGTAGTATGTGAACTTACACCCTTATGCAGGAGTACGTAAATCATGGTTATAGTAATATTTATATATCATTTATTACCATCCCACTTATTGCTGTACCTTCTCTATTTGATTCTTTTTTTTTTTTAATTTTTCTCACTAGAAGGTAAGCCCCAAGGGTTGGAGACCTTGTCTGTTTTGCTCCCTACAGGATCACCAGCACCTAAAACAGTGCTAAGTACACAGAGGCAATGAGTAGGTATTTACTGAATGAACTATTAACATTCTTCATCAGGAAGGAGGCAGAAACTGTCCTTAATAATTTCTCATAAACTAACGTTCTTTACAGGTAGTCCATGGCACCCTCCTGAATCAAGATCGGACTGGATGCTTGCTAAAAGGAGATTCCTGAGGTTCACCTCAGACCTGAGAAATCAGAAGCTCTCCAGGTGAAGTCAGAGAGGGACTTGTCATCCTTAGCTGCAAGCCCCTGCAGATGACTGGACCTCCAGTACATGGTGTCCACAGGAATGAAAAAGCTCTGCTCTCAGTGGTTCTGGCGGGGGAACCATACCCATGTAAGGCTTGGTGCCAGCCACGGTGGTGATCCGCATCTCCCCGGGCAGCACTGCGGCGACGTTGAAGTCTGTGATGTGCACGTGCCCTGCGGAGAGGAGGGCACAGAGAATGTCAAATCCCATTCAGCCCAGCAGCACACCGCGCTTCCCATCTAAAGTACCTGGGAGCTGACTGTACATCCTTTTCTTCTCTCTCTTTTGAAAAAAAAATGTTTTTTTTAATATTGTAGTATAATTGCTTTACAAAGTTATATTAGTCTCTGCTGTACAACAAAGTGATACGAACATTTTCATATCATGATCTATCTCCTGGAGGGGGGATGGTTTAAGACCATACTTACTGAGGACAGTATGTCCTTGAGGACAGAAAAATTGTGCTTTTACTGCCTGGAGCCAATCACAAATGGCATATAAGAACTTATAAACTAATGAACATTATATGCCATTTGCAATTGGGTACAGACAGTAAAAGCTCACTTATTCTATCCTCAAGGCCAATAAGGCCATAAGCCATCAACTCTTCAGGAGCCAGGTCATGCTATGAAAAGATTAGTGCTGGTTGTAAATTTGTAGCTCAACCTCAAAAAGTTTAACCTTGGTCTTTAAAAGCTCACACTCTGGTAAGTTCTCTCTGGGCAATTTTTGTCTACTGGCATCATTTTAAGTTGATACAGAATGGGAGTATCAAGAGAGGGACAGATAAGAACTATTCAAAATATCAAATTTCCAAGCATCTCTTATGGAATCTTTTAAAGAGAAAAACATTTATACAAAGAGAATATGACTGTGGATACACATATTAGTCGATATTTCTTTGCCAAGAAAGAGCTCTTCCCTCTCCTTGTTTTTCTGAAATATCCTCAGGAGCTTTTTGTCTGATAGTTCAGATTGTCCCCCAGTGATCACCAATAAAATAATATATCAAGGGAAAGTGGGGAGAAAAGTCAAGTTCTACCTTTAAAGAGGTTGTTTAAAGAGCCCTAAACTAGGAGCTAGGTGAGCTGGGTCCTGCCTTGAATTCTGCCCCTAAGACTTTATAGATTTGAGGTTGCTTTCCTGTGCTGAACATAAGTTTCCCTTAAAAACAAAAAGGAATGAGCAGACTTGATGATGTCTAGGGTCTCTCCTCAGCTTTAATACTTATGGCAATACTGTGTGGGTCTAACACTCAAGTTCAGCAGAGAGCAACCCCTACTGAGTGTACCAGTGTCCTTGTGCTCACAGCCAGACATAGGAAAGGGCATTACCAGCCGCTCAGGCAGACAAGCTCATCGTGTTGGTTGGCATGAATGTTATATGCTTTGAGAGGATCTTGGAAGTGTTGGCATTTCCATTTGCATGCTTCTGTGGTTGTGATGAGATGTGGTGGTAATTGGAGGGGGTGCCATGGGATTGTTCTTCCACATCCCACAAACCCCACTCCCCCTGCCAACTTCACTGTCTGCTCCCCAACAGCATCCAGTTCACTCCTAATGATAAATCTCACTGTCTTTATCACCAGGGTTTTGTTTGATGCAAAAAAAAAGTGTTTTGTTTTTATCTGATGACATTTTAATAAAGTAACAGTAGCTGAAAGTGAAGGCATTCTTACATAAATGGTTCCAAGAGATGATTTCAAGAGCTTGCACTATTGTAATATAGGTTGTTTCAGTATTTTCTTTCTGTTTCTCCCTCATGTTCAAAGCACTGGCTCTTTGGTTCACAGGTTTGATACAAAATAGAGGAGTCTGGAGACTTAGTGGTTAAAAGCTTGTTCTCTGGAGTCTGATTGCCTGACTTTAAGTCCCAGCTCTACCAGTGACTAGCTGTACTACCTCAAAAAGGTGACTGATCCTGACTGTAAAGTTGGGATGATAATAGTGGTCTTCTCATGAGGTTGTTGGGAAGATCAAATGAAATAATGCTGTGGAAGACTTAGCATTTCACAGGAAGTAGGTATCATCCAGTTGTTGCTATTTCCCATGATCAGATGCTCTGGCGTCATTTTGCAAAACACACGTGCCTAAACTTCTCTCTCTTAAGACCCCAGTGCAGTGGGATGGGTGGGAGAAACAGGTATCCAGGTTAAAAATAGTACCAAGAAACTCCACAGGTGATTCAGATGGGCAGCCAGGCATGGGATCCTTGACTTTAGCCTGAGTAGGTATTCTAAGCCAAATCAATCCTGAGACTGACTATGCTCATGTAGAAGTATTGGGTTGGCCAAGGAGTTTGTTCAAGCTTTTCCATACGCGGTTATGGAAAAACCCGAATGAACTTTTTGGCCAAAGCAGCAGCAGATAGAGGATGCTTTAGAATCATTTGGTTCTCACCGTGTGCGGTCCCCAGACCAGCAGCATCAGGAACGTGATAGAAATGCAGACTCCTGGGCCCTGTCCCCACCTACTGAATCAGAAACTCTGAGGGTGGGACCCCGGTGTTTAAGCAAGCTCCCCAGGTGATTCTGATACCCAGTTCATTTTGAGACCGTGCTTTTAAAAGAAGACCTGGTTTAGTAGAAAATCTTGACCACAGTTATTACGCATTTGTGGTTGAAAGAGTGTTAATTTTATCGTATAAGTAGTATTTGAATTTGTATGATTAATTGCAATTTTCAAAAGGTTTTCACATACTTTGGCCTAGTGAAGTCATCCCTATTTCAGAGAAGAGCTGTTTGTGGCTAAGTTCTCAGTGTTTCGAAGTAGCAGAGCTGGAATTAGGATCTAGCATTTGGCCCAGGACTCCTTTGGTGAGTTATGAATTGTCCAAAGACTTTTTGCACTGTATCATAAGACCAAGGTCTGTAGAAACTCAAAGCACGACCTTCTGATTGGCTCAGGGTTCTCTCACCAGGATGTATAGTAAATGATGGGGAGGAATTATCTGAGGGTCGACACCTACTAGAAACTGTACCCCAGTGCCCTCAAACTGAACAAGGAAAGCAGAGCCTCGTGGAGCCTATGGCCACCAGCCCGACATCTCAGCTCCAGGCCCAGGATGCTGCTGTACTTTCCCTTGGCTTCCCTTGGGGACCTTTCTGCCAAGTTCCCCTCTGTGCTGTGGAAATGAAACTGAGTGCTGGCTCACAGAGGAAGCTCTGGTTGCCCCACTAACGGAGGGACATAGAAATTGCTTTGGAGTGAGGGACCCCTCTGGCTTTTCCCATAAGTCCTGGCCCTGAGGGAGCCTTAGATCAGAGTTTCTCAACTTGGAACTGGCTGAGAACTTGGACCTGATCATCCTGTGTGGTGAACGGCTGGCCTGGGCATGGTGGAATGCCTACTTGCATCCTTGGCCTCTATCCACCAGATGCCAAAAGTACTGCCCACTCCTGGCTGATACACTGACCATCAGAATTGTTTGCAGACATTGTCTCACCTCTGCAGGGAGAGACAGTAGAACAAAAGCATCCAGTTAGAACCACTGCCTTACTGTGAAGTTTCCAAGTACAAGGCCCAGAACTTCCTGATTGAGTGCCCTAGGGAGCCATCTGCCTGTATCCTGAGGCACAGAATCACATTAAAAATTGGAGCTCACAGTATTGAGTCACTGAATTTAGTCATCACTGCAGTCATTATTTATACTCTTTCTTACTGTGCATGTGTCCAGCATGAGGATGCTTCTCAACACAGCCCTCAAGGATACCATAACCAATTGGTTGGCATGGCTCCTAGCCTTCAAAACTTTCCCTAATTCAAAAATGGTGCCACAGATTTCTAGGATTCTTATTAAAAATTTATACCCTTAGACACTAGCTGAGATTTATAAATCTGATTGTCTGGAGCTAAGGTACAGTGTCCTACTATGTGTGTGTGTGTGTGTGTGTGTGTGTGTGTGTGTGTGGTATATGTGTGTGTGTCTGCTTATACATAAAAATGCTAACACTTGATTTTTAGGTACATTTTGGGACTCTGCAAAGGAGAAGATATTAAAGTAGCAGGCTTGGTTCTTCCTCACACCCCTAAACTGAGTTTTTGCCTTTCTCTGTTCCCTGTGACCAGGGAGGGTATCAAGAAACCTAAATTATAGATAATGTGGTAATTGTCATTCTCTCAGATATACCAGTGAGATGTTATTCTTCCTTTGTAGGCAGCACTTATTTCCTGAATAATTTAGAAAAAACCACAAGAATCTTAGACACTATGGAACTGTTAGAATTGGATGGAGTACTTAAGTTGCTAGGATATGGAAACCATGTATCAGAACAGTTGGTTATGAGCCATCCAAGATCTAATGCCATCTCAGGCTCTGAACTAGTGAGTGAGCCATTTAAGTAGGACAGTAAAAGTATGCTCTAAATTAAAAAAAATTTTTAAGTCAAATTCTGATGTGTAAGGAATGTTCATTCATACCAGTAGAAGTACTCTCCATTTACAAAAGGATTTGGTTCCTTTAAATATCAATCTTTTCTGATGAACATGAACCAGTATGACTCAGTAAGAGTAATACAAAGTTTCTGCCTGTTACTGATGGTACTGAATTTAAATATAAGCCACATGGTGTAATACACAGCTCACTTGGAGAAATGGGAATAGCAGGTGTATCAGAAAGGAGCAGTTATCTATGCAATTGCTAAAGCCCCATGCAAAAGGCATATATGAACCACCAGGAATTTCATGTCAGAGTATTGGGTTGGCCATCAATGCCTGAAAGCTAGGTTATTCGAAATCTAAAAAAACAGACAGTAAATAACCTCAAAAAATTACTTTTTCCAGAAGAGATCCCAAGGACAATGCTTAGAGAATGATCCTCAATCTTGTTTATTTGTATCTCTCTCTCCTTCACGTACCCCGTCCTTCCCAAGATAGTGTTTCTCTAATTGACTGCAATTATTTGCCAATTGAATTTAGGATGGGAATAACATACAGAGAAGCTCCTCTTAGATCACTGTTCAAGCCCCAAAGTTTAAGAGTGAAAAGTGTCTTTGTAAATAGTATACCAGGTAACAGGTGTAGTCAGGGAAGCAGGCAGCGTGGGTTGCTGGCTTTCAATCCCTAAGCAGTAGAGCCACAGTCCAAATAAAATGCCTGGACAAAGTGGGCGTTAGCCTCCTATATGCATGAGGGAAAGGCAGAACAGGCCATCGAAAGTACAGTTACCTGAGAATTAAGGGTCAGACAAAATTGTTTAAACATAAGACCTGAGAAGTAGATGTGGTTTATATATATATATATGTGGTATATCCCTTTTGGAATCAAAATATCAATAATTCTTTAGTAAAGTCAAGTAAGGATCCAGCTTTCAGTGCCCACGTGATATAAAGTAACAAAATATGATGAAATCGTCTAAGCTTCCTTTCTTCGGGGAGAAGACCCCTACTACATCCTGGAGACATAGGAGTATTTGACTGTTAATTAAGTGATGTCTTTGGGCACGTGGCAGTCAAACACTTAATGCAGTTATGTCAGTTAGTAGTTACGATGACCCTGAGAAGTAAGAACTCCTTTCATGCCTGAAGAATTTAAGGTGCAGAGAAGTTTTACACAACCTGTTGAGGGTCTCAGAGCTGGTAAGGGACAGAACAGGGTTCTGAGCTCAGGCAATCCAGCTCCAGAAACCACTCTCTTATCTACAATGCACGTGTGCTCCATCACGTCCGGCTCTTTGTGACCCTGTGGATGACAGCCCGCCAGGCTCCTCTGTCCACGGGATTTCCCAGGCAAGAATACCAGAGTCGGTTGCCACTTCCTCCTTCAGGGGATCCTCCTGACCTGGGAATGGAACTCGCATCTCCTGCACCGGCAGGTGAATTATTTAGCTCTGCACCATCTGGGAAACTTTATCTACAACTTCAATCAATTTTTCCCGAGGGTAGTCTCTAAGGGTGTTTACATTTGAAGATTAATTTATTCCTGGATCTTCTCCTAATCTACAATCACCAAGTTGATAAGAAAATGAGAAAGAGAAAGATTTTGAATGAGATCTGGATGACCTCATGGTAGAAAATAAGATGAAGTCACACTGGAGATCCAAGACTGAAATGTTGTTCTCCAAATGGAAGGTGACTTTTGGAAAGGTTTTCGTTGATAGGAGGTGACTTTTGGAAAGGTTTTGGTTGACAGGATCAATATGTCTCCTTTCAGGATCCTGACAAATATTTGGGCAATACACTGGGCACAGAGGTAAGCAGTTGAGAAAGAAGTGGGGACAGAACCCCAAACCAGACTCTGTGTGACCAGTGCTCACCTTCCCAAGACTGTGTCGGGCACACAGGGCACCTTTTTCTATCATGTTGTGCAGAGGTAGCCTCTAGCGGCTAGGGTTGTTTCGCTGACAGTTGTGAAGCTCCACAAAGTTTATTGGTACCAGCATGAGGGGGATCCTGCTTCCTACTGAAGGCAGAGATAGCTGGTGTTTTCATGAAAGTCACCTTCATGTTGTCTCACCAGTGCCCACATTTCTGAGTTTCAGAGAATCTGTTCCCAAATGTCAGAAGCAGTAAAGGAAAGGAAGAAGTAAGGCATTGGAAGAAAGTGGAAAAAATCTTTTTAGACAGTCCATAAATAAATAATGATGCTGAGCTTTGAAATTAGAGGTCATACAGAAAAGTATTTCTTGGCACTCAGAGCACACGTGGCAAACCAGGTTTAAAATGCAATTAGGTAAATAAATAATGAACCACGGATAGTCTGTGGAATTTCAGTCCCACTTGTAAATCCCTTTTGTAAAAGTCAGATGAGTACAGAGCTTTGCAGATTTAGGACTCCATCACCCAGCAGCTCTCTGAAAATTTAACAAGGATCTTATTGCCTCTGTAACATTTATAACATGCAGGCTGTGTGTCCTATAACTGCACTGATGTACCAATAAATCCAAATGTCCATTAAAATAATATCAGGAGGAGATTATATACATTTAATCACTGTTGGCCAAAGCCTTTTCTACAGGACATCTTCAATCAGTGTTTCTTGAACTTCAGGTGTTCATTTTTCACCTTCATGGTCACTGCCTCATCCCTCTGGGTCCCACCTAGATTCTTACCTACTTTATATGTTTCTTTAAATGGACTGATTTTTTGTTAACTGAAAATGGTTGGACAAAAAACTTAATATCTCTTAAATAAATGTAAAAACTTGCCCTGATGAGAAGAAAATCCTAAAAGTAAGCAAAATGAGAACAAAATAATGTCATGAATCTCTAAGTAGATACTATTGCCTACCAAGTGCTCTATACTTGAGGTCTCTTCTGCCTTTATGGGAAAAAAAAAAGGAAGATAATTGCTATAGAGATATTAAGGCAAACTAGCACCCCAAAACTGAGGTGGTTTTCTTGAAGAAATCAGTAGAAATGGAATAAAACTGAAAAGAGAACAACTTTTTCCTTATGTAAATTTAAGGCTATTTATGGGTGTACTAGTGTAGTCGTCCCCAACCCATTTGGCACCAGGGACCAGTTTCATGGAAGACAGTTTTTCCATGGACCAGAGCAGGAGGTGATGAGGAGTAGGGGGGCGGTAATGGTGTAGGTGGTAATGCAAGTGATGGAAATTGATGGGGAGCAGCAGATGAAACTTAACTAGCTGGCCAACTTCTCACCTTCTTTGCAGCCTGGTTCCTAAAAGGCTGTGGACAGCTATTGGGCACCCCTGTACTAGTATACTATGCCACTGCAATAAATGATAAAGTTCCCCCATGTGGTCTGTCCCACCATTAAATAGAGTTTGTACAAACAATGCAATTGAACCAAGCAAGACACTTTTTCCATGTATAGTTCTCCTCTGCTGGAGATAATCAATTTGTTGCACATGTGTATCAAGTGGTTGATTGCAAACAAATCATTTACTTACCATGTTCATCAAGCAAAATATTGTCAGGTTTCATATCCCTAGGGAAGGAAAAAGAAAAGAGAAAGTAGCTCATTATAAAGCAGAACTATAGAGTCGGACCAGACTGAGCAACTGAACAACAACAACAAAGGATAAAGGAAACTCTCAAGAATGGTAGCGAGGGTTGAAACAATGTACTAGCCTTTCATCACAATCTCAATGAATCCTCACAGTGAACTGAGATGATAACCAGTAATACTCCCAATTTCTAGATCAGAAAATTGAGGCTTAAAGAAGTTAAGTCACTTAATCCAAGGTCACAGAGCTAGTAAACAGAAGAACTGGGCTCTGAACCTGGGTCTTTTTCATTCCAAATCTCTTAGACCCTTAAATTCTATAGTGGATTAGAGCCAAGCAAGCAAGTATTGCTTCAGAGATCATATGGCATTTACGTTGTCATAAGGCAGTAGTACTGATCATCACTGTTGTCTGTGTAACTCTAGAGCTACACAGATGAAGTGAATTTAAAGACTGTGAGAAACAAAATGGTCTATGCTGTGATTATGCTTTTTTTTTTTTTAGAGAAATAATGGTTTGCTCATACTCTCTACACCTTAGGTCTTAACAAAACATAAATTAATGGGTAGTAAGTCTTGACTGAGATGAAGCAGAGAGACACACTATGAAACTTCAGATTCCTGAATATAGATTGATGAAGATGCTAATGATATAATGCCTCTGATCTCTTCTAGTTTTTCACAAACCAGGAAAGAGGGCTCCTATGTAACTCAAAAAATACCCCAGGCAGAACCTTTTACATGCATTTCCAAAACTGTGATTATACTTTCAACTTGCAGAGATTAGAATCTTTCTTAGGATGATGTTAATGCCTCTAGTGACTCAAAAAGTCTTATTCCTAGGGTTGTTAATTAAAGGATTTGGATCAGTCTTCCATGCACTGATAAATTCCTTAAATCCACAGAAAGGAATACAACCCACCCTCATCTGATGAAGGGAGTAGTTTGATGGTAGATACTCAGAGGTTTGATGGTAAATACTCAGAGGATTGGTCTGTAGAATTTTTAAAAGTCCTCCAGAAACAAATATTACTGTAAGCAGTGTCCTCAGTGACAGCACTGCTCTGCAGTTCATAATAGCCCTCACTCGTCCACACTCCTGCTTTCACTGCCCTTCCCTAACAAATCATTAAAGCCCTTCAACCCAAATTCACAGAAGTCATTAGGGAAGAAATTCTGCAACCGGTTTGGGATTACATTTTTCAGCCTAGTCAAGAGGCTCTTATGTTGTTAGAATAAGGTGACCTGAGCCTTTGACAGGCTGAGATTGTCAGAGTCCTCTTTTCTTGACACTATTAATGAATAACAAGCCTCTTACCTGCAGAGAGAACCAAGTATGTTCCCCACCCAACAGTACGTGGGTACTTTCATAAGGTTTAAATATCTTCTCATTTAGTTCATTAGTTTCTTAAAATTAGTTCTGGATTCATAAGTGATCATTTGCGGCTGTGGCAAATTTTTCTCTTGTTCAGGGTACAATTTATTAGAAACAGAGCGGGAGGGGGTTTCAAACTGGATGTTTCTCTGGCTAAAGTCTCAATATTTCAGACCCCACCCCATGCCCTCTGATGGATTTCATTTCAAAAATTATCAAGTCTAAACTCATTCATATAGAACGAAAGGCCCTCTTAGTCTGACTCCTGGGTGACAGCCACATAGAGTATGTGGTCTCCTAAATGCCCCCTCCATCCCTTCACCTTCTGTTGTTCCTTTGTGTGAATCAGAGCCTTGACCTGCTACACCCAGAAAATCCAGATTCACCTCTCACTCTCAGGGAGAGTGGCATAGCTCAGATGCCACTTCCTATAGGGAGCCTCTCCTGATTTTCCATTTCTGAGTCAGTGGCCCTTCCTACATGCTTCTTCCATCATAACATTTATCACACTTCTATTAATTTTTTCCCCAACTGGATCATGAACTCCTTGATAGCAGGGACAGCTTCTTGATTAATATATAAACCAGGATATGTAAGAGCACCATAGCGCACCATCAAACACTCTGCAGCTTAAAGCTCAAGGTGGACCAAGCATTAGGCTCTTGCCACCTCTTTCAGACTGGCATCAGCGACATCAGGTAGTGTTTCCAGATGAGGGGGAGGCCCTGAGCAACCCTGCCTGGAACGGAGCGGCAGAATGAACATAATGATTTCGTGGTCTGAATTTATGAGGGTTTGCTGGGAGGAATGAACTGCTATGGTTTTGTCAATTTATGGGCTTTCTATTAAATTTCTAGGCATCATTTAAAAAAAATTTTTTTTTGTATAGCCACACTTTGTTATATCCACTACTTTCCCCAGAAACTTCCTTTCAGCTTAAAGAACAGCACAAAGATCAGAGAGGTCATATTTTAAAGGTGGTATGTCCTACTTCAATCTGACATTCATTTATTCATCAAACACATTTGTCTACTTTGATAAGTCACTGTGTTAGAATATGGGAAATAGATACATGAGATCAAGTTGCCCCAGGGATGGAGAGGGTAAGAAAGGTTCATGAGGAAACTGGTCAAGGGGGTTTGAAGTGGTAAAGAGGTATGTTTATTGCTAAATTCAGAGAAAGGATATGAGAAAATATCCTTTCTCTGTAGAAAAGGGAAAGTAGACTCTTAACAGAAAAATGAAGTATATAAGCAGAGATTCTGAGTACACAGTTTCTCTCAAAAGTGATGAAGTAACCTCTCAGTCACTAAGGGTGAATAGCAGTGTGATAAGACTGTTTATTCATGTAGCAGGAGAAAGGAAGTGAAAATAAACCCAGGTGCTGTATTAAAATTTCTTCTAGAACAAGGTGAGATTTTCTAGTTCAGAAATGCAGCACCACCTCTTACCTTTTTCATCTTTTCCAATAATCCTGAATGGTTTCCTTCATTTAAGGCAATCTCTAAGATGGTTTACCTGGGTAATTACCAAACCTGGCTATTCCTAAAGTCACCCAGGCAAGCTGAAAATATGCACCCTGATTATTTCCTCACTCCCATCTCCTGAATCATTCTTCTGCCATCACTAGAGCCTACCCCCTGTGCAGTATGACCTGTCTCATATACATTTTATTGCCAACCCTGACATTCTAGACTAATAATAAATGAAATTTTCTGCCTGATGTTTCCATCTGTATGTTTAGCAGCCATGATAAATATAAATATATGTCCTAAAGAGACCCTTTGATATCCATCACATCCAACACAAACACGAAAACCCTCTTATCCCCAAGGCCCTTAGCCCAGTATACCATACCAATATTCTCCCATTATAAAAACAAAAACATTGGGAGATCATTATTATTTCTTCTCTTTCCCTTAACTCATAATACCAGCCCCTTAGCAGCCTTGAAAATTTGACCTTTAAAATACGATGATCTAAGACACTATGATGGTTCTTCAAAAAAAATAAACATGAAATTAATACTCGATGCAGTATTTCTGCTTCTGGGTATATACCCCAAAGAAGTGAAAGCAGGTATTTGAACAGATATTTGTAAAAAAATAAAATAAAATGCTGATATGTTCTCGAACATGGATGAACTTGAAGATGTTATGCTAAGTGAAATAAGCGAGGCACAAAAGAACAGTTATTGTATGATTCCCATTATAGGAGATCTTTAGATTGAACAGTCAAATTCACAGAGACAGAGAACTGAATGATGGTTCTCAAGGACTGGGGGAAAGAAGGATGGATGATTTATTATTTAATGTTTATAGAGTTTCAGTTTGAGATGAAGAAAAAGTTCTGGAGATGGACAGTGGTGATGGTGGCATAACAGTGTAAATGTACCTAATGTATTTTTCACTTAAATATGGTTACAATGATAAATTTTATGTGATGTATATTTTACTACAGTGAAATACACACACACACACACACACACAAGAATTACCATCTCCAAAACCACCACCATCATCTTTTAGTTGAAATTTGTAATAGTACCTTGTTCCTGCTTCTCCTCTTGTTCCCTGACAATCCATTATCCACACAGCACCCAGGGTGGGGGTTTTCAATACACACACCTTCCCTGCCTAAGGTCCTCCACTGGCTCCTAACCCACATGGGATAAAATCTGAACCATTTACCCCTGGCCTTATATGACCTGCAGATGCTCAAGTCCTGCAGAACCCTGAGCTACATCTCATGGCATCCTCTCCCTACCACACACCATGCTTCGGCCACACTGCTCTTCTTGGTCTCCTGTGAACATTGCGCCCTCTACCTACAATCCTGTCCCCCTGCATGGCTTGTTTCTTCTTGCCATTCAGATCTCAGCTAAAATATCACATCCTCCAAGAAGTTTCCTGACCACTCATCTCCATCTTCATCTCTTCCCCTCCATCTTATTTTCAGTACAACACTATCATTACATATTTTTTTCTTATTTTTCAGTATTTGTCTCCCCCGCAACCCCTCTGAATGTAAGTTCTCAGAGAAAGGACATCTTTTCTGTACTGTATTGTTCACTGCTGTAGCTTCCAAGCTCATCAAAGTGCCCAGAATAAAGTTAGTGCCTGAATAAATATTTGTCAGAAAAATGAGTGTGTTTGGTCCCTTGGCATCTCCAACCTCAAGAATAATAAGCCACGTCTTTCTTTTTCTTCTACGAAGAGAAAAACAAAAGCTAAAGAACAAGAACTACAACAGCAACAAAACACCCTCCATCTCTGCCTGTCTGTCTTAGTTCTCAGTTGTGTCTGTCTCTATGCGACCCCATGGACTATGTAGCCTGCCAGGCTCCTCAGACCATGAAATTCTCCAGGCAAGAATATTGGTTTCCTCTTCCATCTATGCAAGATGCACTGTATTTGCTGTTGGCAACAAAAAACCCAGTCATTTGTAGAGTGCTGAAGTGCTCCAGGAACACACACATTCTGTATAAAGTTCTCATTGCATCTTGGCTTGATGAAACAGAAAAGGCCAGGTCCTGCTGAATGAGCTGATTCCTACTGTGGGGTCTATAAACAGAGTGTGGAAATGCAGTGCTCCCTATGGCAGGGTT